GGTAGGACAGAGCACTTATGTGTAATAGCAAAAAACATCAAACGACTTAAATGTCCATTTAGAAACAAAACCAGTGACCACCTGGCAGCATTCAGAGGGAGGAGACATCACTCTAAATGTTGAGTGAAAGGAAGACTGGGGTGGGGGGAGATGTGGGGCAGGAAGCGCAGAGAGAGGAGACACTGCTCCTTTCTGCTTCTCCCTCTCCCTGCGGACTGGCTTTTGCCACTTGAATATTCATGAGGCCGACAGAGACTGCCTCGGCCTGGTGTAAGGTTCCAGTCTCCATTCCCAGGAGACCCTGATGGGCCAGCGCGGGTCAGATGTCCATTCCTAAGTCAGTTGGCTGTGGCTGGAAGACAGGGGTTGCATGACACCCACTTGCAGCTACGCCCTCTCCCTACGCAGGGCTGCTGGGTGATGGGCACCCTGGAGATGTCCACGCTTGCTCAGCAGTGCAGTCTAGAACCAACTGGCGGCATCTGCATCACCAGGTAGCTTCTCAGCAACGCAAGATCCTAGGTTCCACCCCACACCTATGAATCACAGCCTGCATTTTAACAAGGTCCTCTGGGGTCTGTAAGTGCCTTAAAGTTTGAGGGACTTTATCATGAAAGTCCCTTTCTGGTTTATCACAAGGACAGTGGACTGCCATTTCCTTCCTTGCTACCCCCTGTCCCTTTCCTTATTAAAACAACTTCATTGAAATACATAGTTCGCACACCATTCAAAGTATACAAATTTTTTCCAGAATTTTGTATTTATCACCACAACTTTTAGGACATTTTCGTTGTCCTAAAAAGAACCCTGTCCTCCCTGGCTGTCATCCTCTATTTCCAGGACTGTTATCACCCCAGAGGGAAGTTCTGTGTCCAGTAAGGAGTTAATCCCAATTCCCGCTTCCCCCCAGCCCCCAGCTACCACTGGTCTGCTTTTTCTCTCTCTAGATTTGCCCGTTCTGGGCATTTCATATAAATGAAATCATATGGTACAAGGCAGGGGGGGGAAGTAAGTTTACAGTCGAAAGTACGCGAAACAGTTTATTCTTGTATTATTAATCATTGTCTTATTTTCCACAACCGTAAACCTGCTTTTGCCCCACCTTGTTTGTGGCCTCTTGTGACTGGCTTCTTTCACTTGGTTCCCACGCAAGGTTCATCCACGTTGCAGCGTAAATCAGCGCTTCACTCCTTTTTGTGGTTGAATGACATCCCACTGCATGGAAAGGCCAAATTTTGTTTATCTATCCACCTGCTGACGAACATTTGGGTTGTTTCCACCTTTTGCCTGTTGCGCATAGTGCTGCTGTGAACATTAGTAAACCAGTCTTTGTTTGACACCCACCTTCAATTCTTTAGGGTATATATCTAGGATGGAAATTGTTGGATCACATGGCAATTCTACATGTAACTTTTGGGGGGACTGCCAAACTGTTTTCCAGAGTGGCCGTAATCGTTTTACGCTCCCATCAGTGTCAAGTGTATGAGAATGTATGAGGGTTCCGATTTGTCCACATCCTGGCCAACGCTCACTTTCCTTTACAAATAAAAATTATGGCAGCATCGCGTTTCTTCTGCCGAGCAGGGCTGCTCTTCCGGAACTGCTGACTGAGGACAGTTGTGCCTCAGAGACGACGGCGTTCAGCGGCAGGGTGACCACATCCAGGCACCCCTGCACTTCAGTCGCTGAGCTCCTGCCAGTGCCCTTTGTCACTTTTTCCCTCCGGTGGGATCCATCTTAGTAAATGCAGCACTGTCCACTGGGCTGCTCGAGACCAGGTTCAACCCGAGAATTATCCTTGCCACGTCCTTCCCCTTCATCCCCCGGGTCCAATTTGTCACCAACTCCTTCCGATTCCACCTGCAAAACACATCTTAGATCTGCTCCATTCTCCCCAGTTCCTGCTGCCATCATCTGAGACCAAGACATCAGGACCTCTCACATTCATTCCTTGTTTTTTTCTTAAGCACTTGTATCGATAATCAACTGCTACATAAGAAATTACTGCAAATGCAGCAGCTTAGCCCTGACCGGTGTGGCTCAGTGGGTTGGGTGTGTCACCTCACAAAGCGAAAGGTCACCAGTCAGGGCACATGCCTGGGTTGCAGGTTGGGTCCCCACTCGGGGCACCTACAGATGGCAACCAAATCGATGTTTCTCACTCACATCAACATTTCTCTTCCTCTCTTTATCCCTCCCTTCCCCCCTCTCTAAATTTAAAAAAAAAAAAAAAAGGTAGCACGTTTGTAGCCGAGCAGCTAGCTGTCTGCGTCCTGACAATTATAACGGTCTAAAGGCCTCTCTTCATTCTATACTGTCTCTCTCTCCTTTAGTCCAAGAGTCCAAATATAACTTGTTCAAGATCTTTTTGGGTTTCCAGGAACCTTGGAGTTCACACCATTAGGCAAGAGCCACATCCACGAACCTCCCTGAAAGGAGACCTTCTCTACCTTAGGCTCCTGCTGCAAGGCCGGCAGATCAATGACCTTAAGCTTCCTAGAAGTCCTGTTGTTTGGTTGAGAGAATCTGTGAGATGCATCCTGAATCTTTTGAAAGGATCTCTTCCATGAGTGAATAGTTGTTTGAGGTCTTAAAACACCACAGTCACAAATTTTACTTTAGCTTTAGGCCATGTTATGGACGGAATGTCTGTGCCCCCCAACTTGTCAAAGTGCTAATCCCCCCATGTGATGGTGTTTGGAGGGGGGGCCTTTGGGTGTAATTAGGTTTAGATGAGGCCATGAGGGTGGCCCCCATGTTAGGATTAGTGTCCTTACAAGAAGAGGGAAAGAGAACAAGAGTTTGCTCTCCCTCTACCACGTGAGGGTACATCGACAAGGCCACTTGCCTCTGAGCCAAGAAGAAGGCTCTCACTAGGAACTGAATCTGTCGGCACCTCCATCTTGGACTTTCCAGCCTCCACACCTAGAACAAATAAATGTCTATTCTTAAGACACCCACCCGACAGTATTTTGTTACAGCAGCTCAAGCTGTAAGACAGATGTTGGTACTGAGAAGGAAGGTACTGTTGCAATAAATACCTAAAAAGTATAGAAGTGGCTTTGGATAATGGATAATGGGTAGAAGCTGGGAGTTTTGAGGAGTGTGCTGAAAATACAGATGTTAAGGGCAATCCTGGTGGGGGCACAGAAAGAAAAAGGGAGAACTGGAGAAAAACCTTCTATTTTCTTAGAGAGTGCATACATTATCATGAACAGAATGCTGATAGAAATAAGGATGGTAAGGTCCATCTTGTTAGGTGATCCTTGTTATAAAGTGGCAAAGAACTTGGCTGAACTGGTCCCAGTGCTTTGGCAAAGTAGAACTTGGGAGCAATGAAACTGGATATTCAGCTGAGATTTCCATGTACAGTGTTTGAAGAACAATGTGGTTCATCCTGACATCTTATAACAAAATGTGAAAGGCAAGAGATGAATTGAAGAATTAGCTGTTACACAAAAGGAATCAGAACTTAAAAGATTAGGAGAATTTTTTAAAAAGATTTTACTTATTTATCTTTAGAGGGGAAGAGGAGAGAAATATCCATGTATGGTTGCCTCTCATGAGTCCCCTGCTGGGAACTGGCCTGCAACCCAGGCATGTGCCCTGGCTGGGAACTGAACTGCCATCGTATGGTTCGCAGGCCTGCACTCAATCCACTGAGCTACACCAGCCAGGACCAGAGTGGGAGAATTCTTAGCCTGTCTGTATTGCAGAAGAGTGAGAAAGTATGTTTGCAAAATACCAAAGGGTACGACTGGACTATCACTTGAAAAAGAGGTTACCGGATTATACAAGCAGAAACACCCCACATTTGAACAAGAGGACCAAGACAGGAAGACAAGAAGGAAGGCTTTCAGACTCTTTACTTTCCACAGGACAGCACAGTAAAGCTACCTGGCTGTGAACGTGCTCCATTCTTCAGGAAAAGGAAAAGCGACCCCAGAGGCAATTCAGAAACTATCAGGGCCACTGCCTGAGTTTCAACACACCAAAGAGCCTTCCCCTGAAGACACGGTGGCAGGGCCACCCAGCAGAGTCTTGGGGGTAGGAGCCTCCCCTAGCAGAGTGGTAATGCCAGTGAGTCCAGAGGATAGAGCTCGGAACCAGGGGCTTATTCTAGAGCCTTAAGAGCTAACAGTGATGGCCTTGCTGGGTTCTGGCCTTGCTTGGGACCCACCGCCCCTTTCTTCCTCCTGATTTCTCCCTTTAGATTGGGAATGTCTCTCCTATGCCTGTCCCACACTTGCATTTTGGAAGCAAAAGAGAGGGCACCCAAGATGGAAGCCAGTCTTTCTGGAACCTAATCTTAGATAAGACATCCCTTCATCAGGAGCAACTCCTGGGATCAGCCCACATGAAGACCAGGAGGTGGGTGTCATGGAAGGCTGTCTTAGTGGCTGCCTACCACTGCCACCTCCCCAGCTAGTGGAGGAAACCTCTCCTTTCCCAGTGCTCTGCCTTCTCCATTCATTGATTCCTTCAACAGCTATTTATTAAACACCTACAGTGGGCTGAATGTTAAGAATGTAACTAATTATACAGATTAAAGTCTTTCCATTGTTTTGATATTTATTCTAGTGGGGAAGGACACTACAGGATAAAAAACGAATAAATATATAAATAAAAATTGTGATACGTACAAAGAAGTTAAGTTATGACAACAGGAATATCTGATATAGATTGGGGACGAGGGTTAGGCATTGTCTGATAAAATGGTATTTAGAATGTGGCTTAAGAATATGCGGAAATTAGGCTGTGTGTTGGGAGAGGATAGTAAATTTCTAGGTAGAGGGAAAGCAGGTGCAGCTGCCGGACTGAGAGCGTCTGAGGGCAGCGACCCTGTCTCCGCATCTCTATCATGCAGCACGGTGCCCGGCACACCCAGTGCTAAATTCTGACTGAATCAGTGAGTGCACGAATGAATCCAAGGCACTTCTATTTCCTGTTACTGATAATGTCAGTTCAAGTCACTTAGAAAACTTCTCTCCAAGTTTACTGCTAGATCACTGTTCTTACTGGTATCAGGCAGCACAGGCAAAGATGCTATAAAAAGAAGACTCGAATCCATAAAAGCTCAAAACAGAGGTTTATTTCCTTTCTCGTGTAACAGTCCTGGGTGGATGTTTAGGTTGATGGCGTAGACTTCTCCTCCACTCAGGAACCTCCCATCGTGAGGCCTTGCCGTCTCCAGAACTTGGTTATCATCTTCCAGCCAACAGAATAAGTAAGAGCACAGGGAGCATTTGCTGACGGATTTTCTGGGCTAAACCTGGAAACTCTGCCTATCTCCTCTGCTAACTTTCCATTATGGAGAGCACATGGCCATTCACGGCCATTCACCTATTTTAAGGGGGTGAAGAACGTACTATAGGCGTATGGCCAACAGAGAGGATAATTATGCCTGCACCACAATATCCAACTATGTATTTGCCTTCTCTTCTGGTATACTGCACAGGAAACTGAAGTTAATGTACAGAGAAAAAAAACTTTGGATTCCCTACCCTCACCCTCATCAAGTCCTTCATTGACCAAAAGGCATCTTCATCCATGCAGCTGCTTAAGCCATACACCTAGAAGTTATTCTTGATTTATTTCTTATTCCCACTTTCCACAGTGAATCCTTTGGGAAGTCCTTCAACTCCACCAAAATATAACTCCATCTACTCCACCTTTACTGCCGCCTCCTTAGTTCAGGTATCATCATAGTCTCTCATCTGGATTATTCTAACAGCCTCTTAATAGCTCTCCTTGCCTCCACTCTTGCTTGCCCGTATTTCATTCTCTGTACTGCAGACTGATCTTTTAAAACATAAACAGGATCACACCACTCTACCCTAAAGTCTTTCAGTGGCTTAGAATAAAATCCGAAGTCCTTACCCCGACCCCTAAGGGTGTGTATGATACTGCCCGTGGCCACCTCTCCAACCTCATCCTTTGTCACTCTCTGCTGTGCACTATGCTCCAGCTATAACGACCTTCTTGGTGCTCCCTGAAGACATTTAGCTTATTTCCACCTTAAAACTTCTGCGCTTGCTGTTGCATATGCCCAGACATCTCTTAGAGTTCCAATAGGCAGCGCCTTCTAATTCTCAGGTCTCGGCGTCACTGTTACCTCCTGGAGGACCTTCCCTGACCATCTAATACGAAAAAAAATCCTCACATCCAGTTATTCTTTTATCTCAGCACTCTGTTCACTTTCGTCTTGGCGTCTACAAATTCTGTGTTTTTTTCCGGTTTATTTTCTGCTTTCCTTTCCTGAAAAGGAGCAGGTACCGTGTCTCGTTCTTAGTGTTTCCCCAGGGTCCAATAAGCCTGGCACATGGTGGTGCTCAGTAAATAAGTGAATGAGTGAAGAATCATCAAGCGGGATCAGCCAAAAGTTCCTGCAAGCTCCTTTCACAGGCTGCTGGTTTAATAAGGAGCACAAACCGGGACCACTTCTCAGCTGTCCGCGAACTCGGCGCTCTGGGCCTGTTACCTAAACTGTAAACGGGGACAAAGGACTTACGTGTACTCACCTCGGAGGGACAGATGCCTATATTGTGAAGAAAAAGGGAATAATGGAGGAAAAGAGTTTCACGTAAAATTCACGCTCCATATGTAGAACTAGTATAGCTATTATTGTACACAACTCTGTTTTCTTACCGCGGAAGCCGTTCGGGGCCTTAGTGTCCTCACCTCTACCGGCAGTCGACCACTCCGAGTCGACTCCAACGGGGAGGAAAGAGGGCTGCGAACACCCAGGGGGCCACTTGAGTCCGGTCCAGCTGCTCTGGCCCGCCCGGTCGGGTCCGGCCCAATGCGTCATCAGCGCGGCGCCCGCGCGGCCGAGGGCCCCGGGGCCTGTTTCGGCCATGGCGCGCCGGGGAGACCCTAGCGGGCGCCTGCAAATTACCCGCGCGATTTGGGGGCGCTCGGGAATCCCGGCGGGCGGCGGCGAGGGGCGCGCGGAGCTGCTGCGGCTCGGAGCCGAGCGGCGGGCGGGGCTGTCCAGAGCTCGGGCGGGGCACAGCGCCGGCGGGCGGGCGGCGGGCGGGGCTGCCCGGCGCCGGTGTCCCGGCGATGTGTGGCGCTGAAGCGGCCTCGGGAGCAGCAGCAGCGGCGGCGACGGGCTCGGCCTCGGCATCGCGGCGGTGTCGGCGGCGGAGGCGGAGGCGCAGGCTCCTCCTTAGGACCTGGCGAGCCCGGGCCTAAGCGGTGGCCCCGCGCGGCCCTTGCACGGCGCCCCGAGTCGGGGCGCTTTCCGGTTCGCCCTGCCGCGGGAGCCCGAGTCCCCGGCCGGGGATGAGGCCGGGAAGCAGCCTGGCAGGGCCCAACACAAAGGCTTGTCCCCAGGGGCCGCCGCCGCTGCCACCGCCGCCAGCCTAGAGCCGCCAGCCGAAGCCGAGCAGGCGCCGGGATCCACATCCCCACCAGCCCCTGGGGGCGGCTGCCGCCCGTCTCCCCAAGGCCCAGGGGCCCGAGCGCCCAGCCCGGTGCTCCCTCGGCTACGGTGGGATCGGGCGGCTGCACAGCCTCCGTCCCTCCCGGCCGTGGGGGCCCTGCGGAGCATGTCGGAGGAGAGCGCCATGGAGAGCGCCATCAAGGTAAGGGGGAGATGCCGCCTTCCTCCCAGCTTTGTCCCCGCGGCGCTCCAGTCGGCTCCGGCCTCAGAGCGGAGAGAACTCCGAGTGAGAGGTTCCAGCGACGCCCCGGTTTCGGTCTGTCCGGAATTCCTCGGCCTGCCTTTTACAGCCCGGGGGCGAAGGGTTCGTGCGTGTGTCGGAAGGGAGCTCCGACTCACCTGGTTGAAGCAGGAATGTGATTTTTGCCCCGCTAGTACGGGAGGTGGGTGGGTGGAGATGCTAGATGGGAATGGTATGGAGGGGCCCTGCTGCTCTTCTTTCGATCACTCGTGTCCCCGCATTTGCTTCGGGACGATCTGCTCAGAGATCTGGACCTCACCCATCCCTCTGGGCTGTTTGAAAAAAGCCTCCTGGAAACCTGCAGTTTCAGAAGGAGGTGGTTCGCCTTCTTACAAGCCCCGTCCTTTGGCGAATAGATTGTTCTCACTTGCCCATGTGTTCCCCTCCCCTTTTCCTCTCCCCTCTCCTCCTGGGGAGCACCGAGTTTATTTAGGAAGAGCTAAAGGTGTCCTGTGACTCACTGCTCTGTTAACCAAAAGAAAAGCAACTATGTGTTCTAAAATGACCCTAATAAAATGACAAGTTTTCTAAAACCAGTTTTACTCTTTTTTGTGTGTGTGACTCCGAGGCACTAAGGCACTAAGACCAACTTACATAGCTGTGACTAGAAAATGATCTTGTGTATGAACATGAAGCTTAAAGTTTAATAGGTATTATTTACTTATTTTACAGTGTTAAGTCAACTCAGTACATTTAAGAATTTCATTTTATTTCGAGGGACAGGCATTCATTGGTGATTTAGGGTTATTTTCACTTCCAAGGCAAAATCACTATTACCAATAACTAATTAAAAAACTTCTGCCCTGGCTGGTGTAGCTCAGTGGATTGAGCACAGGCCTGCAAACCAGAGGATCGAGGTTTGATTCTCAGTCAGGGCACATGCCTGGGTTGCAGGCCAGTTCCCAACAAGGGATGCAGGAGAGGCAACCATACATTGATATCTCTCCCTCTCTCCTTCCCTTCCCCTCTAAAGATAAATAAATAAAATCTTAAAAAAAAACCCCATAAACTTCTAACGACTTTTTGGGTGCTAAAGCTTATAGAAATCATCAGCTTTTCCAAAGAAACTTCACCTTTTAAAAGGTACATCAAGCCTTGGCTGGTGTATCTTAGTGGATTGAGCGCTGGCTCTGTGATTCAAGGGATTGCCAGTTCAATTCCTAATCAAGGCACATGTCTGGGTTATGAGCAAGGTCCCCAGTAGGGGGCATGTGAAAGGCAACTACATACTGATGTTTCTCTCCCTCTCTTTCTCCCTCCCTTCCCCTCTCTCTAAAAAATAAAATCTTAAAAGAATAAAGATACATCAAAATAAAATGTATACATTAAGGAAGATCGAAACTTTTTAAAATCTTCACCAGAGGATATGTTTCCATTGATTTTAGAGAAGGGGGAGGGGGAGAGAGAGAAACATAGATTGGTTGTTTCTTGTATTCGCCCCAACTGGGGACTGAACCCACAACCCAGGCATGTGTCCTGATGGACATGTGCACAGAATGACTCTCCAGCCACCTGAGCCATGAGACCACGGCAGGAAAGTCACATTTTTAATAATAGAAATAAAGGTTCTAAAAGACCACTTTGATGGGTCAGTACCTTCAAAGAGATAAACACGTTTTAACTTTTAGAAAAACTTTAACTCTGCTCATTAATAAAGTGGAAACCACGAGGACTCACCCTGTCAAGAGGCTGATGGCACTTGTCCCTGAAATGTGGAGCCGACCGGGCATAGATCTGTAGGCTGTAGAAATACGCTGCCAGTTGGGCAATAAATCAGAACACTTGTTAGCACCCAACACCTAGGAGGGAGCACGACGGAATGAGGTCAGCTGCGGAGAAGTCAAGGTCATCATGAACCATTACACGTTGTTACTGTAGAATTTTGGTTCAAGCTCAACCGACACAACTACATTACAATTCATAAGACTCTGTAAAGGCAGATACCATACATGTGAAAGTAGATTTCAAACCAACATTTCAGCTAATACTAGAATTTACTCTCTGGATACTGCCATATATATACATGTAAATAAATAAACAGGTTTTTTTGTCAGTAAGTAAGCTGCCTAAAGTTATATAACTGGGTTGTGAATTGAAGCACATGGGGCAGGTTTCTATATTCAACAGGTATTGTCCACCTTGTGCCAGCTGCTCTCTTAGGCACCAGTGGTGCAAAGCCAGCCTCCTGGATGTCCCTGCTCTCATGGAGCTTATATTCTAGGTGGCAGAATTAGGTAATACACGTTGCTAGGTGGTTATAAGTAAGTATAAAAAGGTGGGGAGTACTATTTCAGGAAGATTGGTCGGGAAAGGCCTCTTTGAGGAGGTGACATTTCCATAAAGCTCTGAAGGGAATGAAGGAACAAACCACTGTCTTGGGGAAGAATATTACCTACAGTGGGAACGGCAGGTACAAAAGCACTAGTTGGTGTAGGTTCCTGTGTGATCCAGAAAAGCATGGTGGCTGCAGTGCAGTGGGTCTGTGTAGAAATAATGGGAAGCCAGAGAACATGGGGCCTTGCAGGAACTTGGGGCCAGGAACATGGGGCCATTGTAGGAACTTTGGCTTTGATCCTAAGTAGAATGGGAAGTCTGGGAGAGCTTTGGGCAGAAGAGGGATGCAGTTCTAGTGGGCAGATAGAAATGGGCAGGCATTGTTACTAAGTGGTTACAACAGTTTCTGAAGGTAGGATCATGGGTTTACATCTCAGCCTTGCCGTTGGTTAGCTGTGTCCTTGAGTAAGACTACTTCACCACCTTGTCCCTTAGTTTCTTCATCCATAGAAAGGAGATAAAAACATTCTCCAGCTCATAGGGTATTTTTGAGGATTTAATGAGCAATTAATTATATCTAAATGTGCTTATAACAATAGCTAACATTTAGTTAAGAGCTTGGAGAATACTGGCGTATAGCAATTTAAGAGTGGTTTAGAAAGACTTGCTGTTTTCTTCACTTGGTCGGGATTGCCCAATCTAATTTTATGGGTTTTGTTTGTTTGTTTTGTTTTTTAGCCTTCACATACATGACAGGTCATTGGTGATACTTCCTACTGATTTGGGTATACCCAACCCATACAAATTGGTGGAGTTGAAAATACCTGAACTGACAGCCAGTTCAGTACTCGAATGCACTAGCACTAGAATGACTAGAATGTACTCCCTTGGAAGCAAGCCAGCATCACATCAGATGCAACTTTTGGACTGTGGCGTTGCATTGTATTCATGGTTTTGCGTTTTTGGGGCTGTCTCTCAAGTGGTGAGAACTGAGACCTGTAGAGTTCAGCTGGAAAAGCTGTGTTCCTGGGAAGTAACCATAGCACTTAAACTTAGGCTGTGTGATTAACCAAGAACAGGCTGATTGGGCTTTTGGCGGGGATTCCATTGAATCTCTTGGTCAGTTTGGGGACAGTTGCCATCTTAATACTGTCCTATAATCCATGATTAAAAATTCTCTGAGACTTATGACCTAGCATGTGTTTTATCCATGTGCACTTGGGAAGAATATATATATATTCCTCTGACATTGGGTGGGGTGTTCTGTAGATGTCAGTTAGGTCAGGTTGGTTGATAGTATTGTCTTCTGTATCCTTGCTGATTTTCAGTCTAGCTTTTCTGTTCATTACTGAGAGTGGGAAGTACTGAAATCTCCAGCTGTTATTTTTGAATTATCTGTTTTTCCCTTAAATTCTGTCAGTTTTTGCTTCATGTATTTTTGGACTCTATTAGGTGCATGTATCTATGTTTATGATTGTCATACCTTCCTGTTGAATTGACCTTTTTATCATTATAAAAAGTGCCTTCCCTTCTCTATTAACATCCTTTATTTTAACGTCTGTTTTGTCTGTTGTCAGTTTAGCTAATTCAGCTAGTAAACTACACAAAATGAAATTTACCATCTTAACCACTCTCCAGTGTCAATTTCAGGGGTATCAAACACATTCATAATTTTGTACAACCATCACCACCGTCCATCTTCAGACTCTTCATCTTTTAAAACTCAAGTTCTGTACTCACTGGTTTGGACTCTCCTGGGTACTACGTATGAGCGGAATCACCCAGGATTTGCCTTTTTGTGACTGGCTAATTTCACTTACTTCTCATTATGATGTTCTCAAGATTTATCTGTGTTGTAGCATATCGCAGGATTTCCTTTCTTTTTATGGCAGGATAACATTGCATTGTATGTATCCGCCACGTTTTGCTCATCCATTTGTCAGCAGACACTTAGGTTGCTTACATGTTTTAGCTAATGTGAATGGTGCTACTGTGAACATGGATGTACCAATATCTCTTCAAGACCCTGCTTTCAGTTCTTTTGGATATATACTCAGAAGTGGAATTGCTGGGTTATATGGTAATTCCTTTTCAAATTTTTGGAGGAACTGTTATTTTCCATAGCAGCTGTGCCACTGTCTACCCCAGCAGCAGTGCCCGGAGGTCCAATTCCTGTATATCCTCATCAGCACTTGTTATTTTCTGCCTTTAGCAGCCACCCGAGTGGGTGTGAGTTTTGTTTTTATCTCACTGGAGTTTTGCTTTTCCTTTTTTTCATACTTAGTAACGCTGAGAATCTTTTCATGTGCTTATTGACCATTGTGTTATCTTTGGAGAAATGTCTATTCTAGTCTTTTACCCATGTTTTGAATTGGGTTGTAGGAGTTTTTTTTATATATTATGGATATCAATCCCTTATCAGATATATGATTTGCAAATATTTTCTACCATTCGGTGGATAGCCTTTTATTTTTTACTGTTAATAGTGTTTTTTGATGCACAGAATTTAAAAATTTCATTAAGTCCACTTTGTTTATTTTTCTTTCATTGCCTGTTCTAGATCCAATGTTGAGAAACTTTTGTCCTGTGTTTTCTTCTACGAGTTTTATTGTTTTAGGTCTTATATTTAGGTCTGGGATCCATTTTGGGTTAAGTTTTGTATATCGTGTTAAGGGTTCAACTTCATTCTTTTGTGTGTGGATCTCCAGTTTCTCCAGCACCATTTGTTAAAATCCTTTTATTTTTAACCTGTTTCCATCTTTGAATCTAAAGTGTCTCTCTGCCCTGGCTGGTGTAGCTCAGTGGATTGAGCGCGGGCCTGCGAACCAGACAATCGCGGTTCGAGTCCCAGTCAGGGCAAATGCCTAGGTTGCAGGCCGGTTCCCTGCAGGCCAGTTCCCAGCAGGGGATGCGCAAAGGGCAACCATACATTGATGTTTCTCTCCCTCTCTCCTTCCCTACCCAAGTAAATAAATAAAATCTTAAAAAAAAAAAAAAATAAAGTGTCTCTCTCATAGACAGCATTTATAGTTGAATCTTTTAATCCAGTAAACATTTAATATCGATTTTTATGATTTTATTTTCGTTATACATAAATATATTTAGTTAATTTATTACTTTGTGGATATTATTATTTACAAAAACAAGCAGTGGGTCATCTTGCCTGTGGGTCGCCATTTGCCGACACTAGGTCTAGAAGGATCCTCAAGAATGACATCATTCCACGCATTTCTATCATAAGCCAACGGATGTGTTTCTTTAGTGGAACTCGGTCAGCATGTTGGCCACTGATGGCTCCATAGTTCCCTTCAGTAAAGTGTATGCCCTGACCCATGCCTTCCTATCTCCTGTCATTAAAACATGTGAGAAAATGCCGTATCAAAACACAGAGGAGTTGACAGCTGTGACAGTGTTACTTCTTTTTTTTATTTTATTGATTTTGAGAGAGAGGGAGAGAGATTTGCTTTTCCACATATTTACGTATTCATTGTATGTGCCCTGACTGGGGATTGAACCCTCAGCCTTGGCACAACAGGACAGCGCTCCAACCAACTGGGCTACCTGGCCAGGGCTGGAGAGTCTTAATTCTTTGGCCCAGCTGGGCTTAGTGAAGCCTTAGCACTGGTGAGCGTTTACAGCACCATTAACAAAGGTGCAAGAATTAAACCTGGGACCCCGACTGGTGTGGTTCAATTGACTGGGTGTTGTTCTGCAAAGCAAAAGGTTGCTGGTTCAATTCCCCATCAAGGCACATGCCCGGGTTGCAGGTTCAGTCCTTGGTTGGGGAGTGTATGAGAGGCACCAATGTCTCCCTCTCTTTTCTCCCTCCTTTCCCCTCTCTCTAGAAGTCAGTAAATAAAATCTAAAAAAAAAGAAAAAAGAATTAAACCTAGGAAAGAGGAAAAGAGGTATAAGAAAAACGGTTCAGAAGTCGGGACAGTAAAGCAGCGTGGTAGTGCTTCTCTTACCTCCTGCAGAGCCGGGTGTCAGAGCTCCAGTCGGGGCCTCTGCCCGCCGAACAGTCCTGGCTGTCCACTGGGTGGGGGGCCGTCTTAATAAGCACGAGTACGGTGATGAGTTGGGACTTAATAAGCAGTAGCACAGTGATGAATTGGCTCTAATGCCCGGAACTGGGCATGTGAACCATACTTTGCTCTGATTATAACAAATAATTCCATAGAACAAATCTTTATTTTTCACTGAGTCCCCAATAAATGCACGTTTTCATTCGCGTCGAGGAGAGGTTTTGCAGGTAACTTGACCATGTAGCTTAGACTATGCTCCCTTTTTCCCAGGACTGTATTTACTCTTCCCCTTCTCTGACACTTCTAAATCCAACAGGCCATGCAGTGGAAACATGAAGGGAAGTAGACAAGTTACATGGGTAGGTTTAAATTGTTTAGGTGGTGGTGAGCAGAGACAGAACCTGCAACCCCTCTACCGGATTGGGCAAGATTTGTCCCTAGCCTTCATGCCGAGGCTGGACAATTGACCTTGACAGCCGTAATGGTGCTGGGAAAGAGGCCAAAGCCATAGATTCTAATCTTGTTAGTGCCTGTAACTTACTCTGTGACGTTCACAAGCTCCTTAACCTGCTGTACAGTTTTTCAGAAGGGAGTTTGTTTATATAATGATTCTGCGGGTGCCTTCCAAATCAGTATCTATCATCTGACTTTGGTTCACCTTTCTGGTCATTCATTCCACAATTGTCGAGCATTCCTGTATGATGAGAACCTTTATCAAGACTGGGCAGCAGAAAGGTGTGGCTATGAAGGCTTTCTTTCTTTTTTTTTTTTTTAAGATTGTATTTATTTAGAGAGGGGAAGGGAGAGAGAAAGAGAGCTAGAGAAACACTGATGTGTGAGAAACATTGGTTGCCTCTCCTGTGCGTCCTGACCCAGGGCTGTGTGAGAGAAACATCAGTCTACTGCCTCTCCCACACCCTTACCTGGGGACCTGGCCCGCTATACAGGCATGTGCCCTGACCAGGAATTGAACCAGCAACCTTTTGGTTTGTAGGCTGGCACTCAATCCACTGAGGCACACCAGCCAGGGCTCTAAGCTCGTTTTGTACACTTGCATATTCACTGGGCAGAAGCTCTGTTCTCATCTCTGAACTCAGCCTGGTGTGTGGCACATATTAACTGCATAGATGAGTGTGTTACCTGGACAAATAACCGTCCTAATACACTGGGAATTAAGATTCTAGTGGTAAATATTATCTTTCAGATTTCCATTGCTATAAAACAACTTGAAAGTCTCATGAGTTTTGGCCTAACTTTTCAAGATCTGCAGTTGATTTCCTATTCTACCTGTGGAACCTTGAAAAACGAATGTCAGCCTACCACGATTTAAACATATACCTCTCCTGCCTAAAAGTGGAAGGCAGCAGAAACTCAGCAAACAGTGACTAAACAGGAATTCCATGAAAACTTTCATTAAACTGTGGAGATGTATCTGAAACTATTGAAACCATTTTAAAATATATTGAAAAATATAAAAAATATTGTTATACAAGGACTATTACAGAATATCTTTGGTACTGAAAATGGTGCTGTTGAAAATTATATAAATTATTGTGACACTGCCGTTTTATTTGGACTTTTAAATCTTGATTTATTCAGTTATTCCAATATGATCAGCTTGTTCAAGGATATAGGCCTATATATATTTTTTGCCCTAAAGTTTTTGCTTTTGCTCTTGCTGGAAAACGATGCCTAAACCAGTCATTCAGACAGAATGTCTACAGAGCTCTACAGAACATGAAACTTTGCTCATCAGATTCTCTCAGAAAATGAGATGTTGAGTGATAAAGTCATCTGTTGTCCTGTCTCTGTTTAATTGTTCAGCTTTTTAATTGAAGCATTCTTCTTTGCCCTCTCCCTTTTTATTTTAATAGGAGACCTCCATTTTAGAGGAATATAATATCAATTGGACTCAGAAACTGGGAGCTGGAATTAGTGGTCCAGTTAGGTAAGAGACCCATGTGCAAACTATGACAGTGGTTCTCCAAAGGGCCATTTGAAATACATCTTAAATTAGAAGCATCAGGGTGCCAGAAATTTTAAATAGCCTTAATTTAACAAGTAGAGGTATGTATGTTCGGCTATTTTTCATCTATTTAGAAATATGTTTGATCAAATCACAGGGTCTATAACATGGAATTATTTGAGGTGTTGACCCTGTGGAGCCCCTGCGAAAACCTCCTGTAGCCACCAAAGGCCATTCTTTCACAGCCAGGCATGAATGGACTTCCGGCTTTGGAGCTGAGGCCCGTGGAGGGTGGGTGAGGTGCTTCTCTGCCTTTCCACCTGCCATCCCTGGGGGCAGGTTTGTTCCCATGCACTGCATATATTCTTGACTAGAAGTCCAATTCTCAAAGAACAAACTTAATAAGTTAGTTTTCACTGTAGTTTTCAAACACAGATTATTTGTTTGAATTTTTTTCTACAAATCTAGAGTCTGTGTGAAGAACTCTACCCAAGAACGGTTTGCACTGAAAATCCTTTTTGATCGTCCAAAAGCTAGAAATGAGGTATGATCCAGAATTGCCTTGACTTGCCTAAATACAGGGTCCAGCAGAAGTAATGCCTGCTCGAGTGTGGTTGGTAGGGTAATGATATGGGTGTAGTAATAAATAGTGTTAATTTGAACATTTCACCTAAAATGTCATATGTTGTGCTTGAGTAGAATATTGTTATGTTACAGAATTACATGCTTATGATTTTATAGTAAGATTTTGTAATAAAAAGGGGTATTACTTGTACTGCCTAAGAATTATTCCTTTTAGAAGTAAGGCAGCTTCTTGGAGAGAATACACATATGCATGAAGAATTTTTTAAAAAATTTAAGTTCATACTTACTCATTTTTGCTATTCATGTTATTATTATAAAGGTCCTATATCTATCAATACCAAAGGCTATATTGGTAGAGTATTTTTCCTTTCAACCACTTCTTGATCTTTTCAGTTAATGTGATTCTTATACATGGAAGTATTCAGGTTTAGTTCTGCTTTTACTTATTGGAAAAAGTCCTTGAAGAGTGGAGATAAAATACTACAATGAAGGGTCTGATGAAAAGGGTCTTGAAAGTGTGCTGCAGGAGGGCTCTGAGGGTGTGTTTCTAGTTTTTAAAAATAGACATTTGTTTTAAATTATCTGGATGTGGTGATGACATGTTTATAATGTGTAGTGAAGTACTTATTCTTTTGCTTATAGATGTAAGAATAACACCTGACATAACATAAATTATTTGCCAATTTACTTGCTGATAGATAGGACAAGAGAAAGTAATCTGTTGTTGAGGTTTTAATTCATGGAAAAGCACTAAGGAGATAACCTGGGTGGCACCCTCCCCCCTTTATTTACATCATTCTAGGTGATAAGGCTTTTACTGTGATAGGCTTAGCCCCTGTGCCTAGTGGGGTCAGTTTTTTAGGGGGGAGAGAACGTTGGCATCCTCTATGTACATAAACATTTCCTCTGTTCTCTTTAAGGTACGTCTGCACATGATGTGTGCCACACACCCAAATATAGTGCAAATTATTGAAGTGTTTGCTAACAGTGTACAGTTTCCTCATGAGTCCAGCCCCAGGTAAGACTGCATGGGGTCATCTTCCCATGCCCACCTCTCCACACGTAGGCCAAGGTGTAGTGGGGTCTTCCTCTCTTTTGTGCCCCCCACTCGCTTCCCCTTTCTCTCTTTCCCTCTCTCCCTGTCTGCCTCCCTCTGATCCTCTTTCTCTTTCTCCTCCTTTTGTTTTGGGAAATTTCAAACACTTGTGAAGCAGGCAGAATTATGTAATGGATCCCCAGGTTTCCATCACCAGCCTTGTTGCCAGGCTTGTTTCATCTGTGCCCCACCTACTCTCCTGGCCCCTGATTATTGCGGTTACTTTCTCTTTTTTAAAAAGGCATGTATGTAATGTGGTATTAAAACAGATTCTATTTCAAATTAGCGAAAGGGGACTAAATATTATTCTAGGCAATGTCTTAGAGGTTGATACAGCAAAAAGCCCTTATTGCTTAGTGTGGCATTCCTTTTCAAGGAAGAAATCAACATTATTTTTTTAGCTGCCAAATGTTTGGCAAGTGCAGTGGGTGGCATTCTAAGTCTCTTTTGGGAATTCAAAATTAAATAAGGTGTGTTCTCTGTTGGGGGGAATGAAGTAAATCTGATATCGTAGCAGTGTGATGGGCAGCCAGAGAGGCATCCATAAAATATTTTGAGCTTACAATGGAGAGCTGCTAGCTGTAGGCTGGGGAGGTAAGTGGTCTCACAGAGCAGTAATGTGGGAGGTAGCACTTGAGGGGGATAAGTAGCTCTTTTCCAGGTAGAGAAAGAAGATAGACTTGCAAAAACAAATGAGAAATGAAGTGATTATTTCTTACAACTGTGCTCTGTTGGTGAAAGCATTTGGATGCAGACTGGAAGCATTTATATAAGAGGATGGTAATCAAAATCCAAAAAAGTTATTGGACAACATGAGAATTTTTGTTTTTATGCAGTAGCTATATAACCCTTCCCAGTTATCTTGCTGGGTGTGCTGTGGATCCTGTGGAAAATTAGTGGACTGGGTGCGGGGAGTAGATACACACACACACACACACACACACACACACACACACACACCCAACACACAGTGAGTGAAAAACCAAGACAGCCCAGCACTCGGCTAAATGACTTGAAATTCGTGTCCTGCACATAGCCAAACTCTGGTTTCAGTCTAGCTGTCCTAAAATACATATACAAAACCTGTCACCAAAAAGATCATTGCCTCTTTAACATAACTAGTAATAACAGGTTAGTATCAAAAGGATGATTGTCTTCAAAACTAATTTTTTATTCCCATTTTTATCTTCTCAGGAGGTGTTAGTTAGGTCAGGGATATTCCTTGTGCATAGTGTTCGGTTGGTAGTGACTGGGAGTCCAACTCAAAGGGGCTTCGTAGGACTAGACTTAGGAAGTAGTTACACACTGTAGATGAGGTATCTCTTTAGGTTAGCTACGTAATGTTTCAGTTTTTTTTTAACTTAACAAAATCAAATGCTTTCAAACAGGGCTCGACTCTTAATTGTAATGGAGATGATGGAAGGGGGAGAGCTATTTCACAGAATCAGCCAGCACCGGCACTTTACAGAGAAGCAAGCCAGCCAAGTAACAAAGCAGGCAAGTTAACCCCGGGTACCAATCAAACTGCCAACAATGTTGGTTAACAAGCACAATTTCATTGGGGGGGGATAAAAGAAAACTTGCAGAAAAGCTCTATTTGATCTCTCATTGCCTGCTTTGTTATGTAATCAGAAAAGATGCCTTGACAGGAGAAATGTGACCCCTTTATGCCTGGGGAGGGGGCTGTGTTCTCACGTGGTTGTCAATTGTCTCTGTTATAAGGGTTATAAACAAACTCTGGAATGAAGGTAATCTTAAGTAGCTCATAGACTGCTGGTATCTGTAGACACATGGCCTCCAAAGCACTATTGCTGGACTGAGATAAAATGTTGCTGGTACCACCTGAAAGATTGCTTAGTGTAAACGTATGTTCTGACAATTGTATACAAGATACTTTTTTGCTTATGAATCACCTTTTTCTCATCACATTTTAGTACTGTTCTAAGGTCTTTGTAATTCTGGGTTATTGCTGGTTACAGTTGCTCTATTTTGACATCACAATTTATTGCTGGAGAAATGGTTTATATCACAAATAATACGTAACCTCCCGAGGAGGTGAAAAGCTAAATTAAACCCTAAAAGCTTATTTTCCAACCAAGCAAGCAAGACAGAGAAAAGCAGAAAGCATAGCCCACTTGGTTCTTAATAAAAAAAAAATCCTTCCGAATTCCCATGAGCTTGTTTGACACCTCCTTTCTGGAAGGGAGGAACTAGTGTTTGGAATGGTAAGACAATTCCACACTAAGAATTGAAGAACAGGTAAAATGTGCTCTTTCTGTTTAACTTTAAAAATTATACCTTGTATTTTTCAAATATTAGGAGCAAAGGGTGATCTGTGATAATCTTCTATAAAACAAAACCCCTTCACATCCACCTACACACGCAACATTTCAACACATGGGATGAGCGCATTGGAACATCAGGTGGAAAAATCCAGTTAGCTGCTTTTCGTTTTTCTTGAAGCAGAACTTGAAAGTTGAGCTCCCCAGAGAGTGCAGCTCTCTTCTGAGCCACATGTTAGTGCCGCTGCCCCGCTGCGGGAGACCCTGGCCTGGCCTGCTGAAGACTGCAGTGCCTGTCACATCACAGATGAGTAGAAGTGGAAACATTTCATTTTCCTCATTTTGTACAGGATCTGACCATCAGTTTATTCTGACAAAGAATCGTTTTACTGCTGTATTTTTCTTTTTCTTTAACAAAATACAGGTTGCAGGTAAACTAAGCTTATTTCAGTTCTACTTCTTGGTACCAGAAGTTTTACTTAATTTCTGCTTTAAAGTTGAAAACTGACTATAGTCTTCATTGACTTAAGGATCATTTTTTAACATCCTGAGTTCTCTAAGCCCAGGGGCATTAAAGAGCTGATTTTTCTAAGATGTGGTTGCTCCATTATGTCCTTTTCCAGATAGCTTTGGCTCTGCAGCACTGTCACTTGTTAAACATCGCACACAGAGACCTCAAGCCTGAGAATCTGCTCTTCAAGGATAACTCTTTGGTGAGAAGCCTTGCTTTTCTGCATTTTAGTGCAGCCACTCACAGTGTAGTTCAGCAGTGGGTGTGCAGAGGTGTATGTGTTTGGAGTGCTCTGAGTTTGTTGTGGAGAGGCTTTGGCCCCGGTGCTTTAAGCAGCTTATTTTTCCCACTCATTTCCTTGCTAGAGGCCCAGAGACATACCCCTGGTGTTGATAATTTTGGATAATCCTGGTATGTATTTGTAGGACTTAAGATTTTGGATATTATTTGGAGGCACATTGGGAAGGGGTGGGAATCAATATACTATTATATATTACCTTGAAACTTAACAGTTGTATTTGTTAACTCTGATAAGGTGTGTTTTCCTCTCCAGTCCTACCTGCTTCCCATGTCCCGTCAAATAAGTTGTTCTGGCAAATAAGTTGTCATGAAGCTGATGTTATGAATGAAGTGGCACCCTGGATTGATGAGAAATAATGGGCTTTAAGCTATAGAGTCAAGGGACATTTGAGTAAGATTTTGATTTTAGTTAAAAAGCAAGGTTACCTGTGATGGGTAGAAATCGCTTACTTCTCTATTACTAGAAATAGTTCCTTAATATGAATCATTGTCTCCAAACCTGAGGATGTGCTACTCATACACTCAGATCTCAACAGGAAACTTGTGAGAACTTGCAGTAACGTGTTTTTGCACCTGGAGTTTCCTTTAATGTCTACTGAGAACTCTGGAGCAGTGACTTCCATTTATTTTGTTTCAGGATGCCCCTGTGAAGTTGTGCGATTTTGGATTTGCCAAAATCGACCAAGGTGACTTGATGACACCCCAGTTCACCCCTTATTATGTAGCACCTCAGGTAAGCATGTGCTGTTTCTACCACAGGGTATCACTAAGCTACCTGTGGACTCACCGTGCTTCTACTGTGCAGCACGAGTCATTGTGTGTTACAGATGCAAGGGGAGAGCCCAGCTGCAGAAGCCTTCAAGCCGCTTAATTTGGTACAGGCATTTTACTCTTTTAAAACCAAATTTACTGAGGAACGATTTATGTATGATACTCCTACTTTAAGTGTAGTTGATGAGTTTTCACAAATGGGTACTCCTGCATGATCAGGTCCACGAGCAAGGTACAGACATTTCCATCACTTCAGAAGCGGCCTGGTGTGCCTTTCCGGTCAGTCTTCTGGTCAGTCTGCGCCCAGTTTAGCCCCCTGCCCGGGGCAACCACTGATCCGCTTTCTGATGTTATTGGTTAGTTTTTTTCTCTTGTAGAATTTCATGAAATGGAATTCATGTGCCTTTCGTGTTTTGTTTTTACTCAGCATGGTTTTGAAATTCATCCATGTTGCTGCACTTAGCAGTAGTTAATTCCTTTTTATTGCTAAATGGTGTTCTGTCATGTGACTAAGGCCTGTTGTTTGTCCATTCACTGACTGATGGCCATTTTGGGTTGTTTCACATTTTTGGCCATTATGATTAAAGCTGCTAAGGACATTCAATTATGTTTTGAGGGACACATTTCCCCCCTTAAGTAGTATCTTTTTCCAAAATGCTTGTACCACTCTACATATATACCAGTCATGTGTAACAGGTCCAGTTGCTTCACATTCTTACCACCAAGTCACGTGTGTTAGTATTTACAATCTTAGTCACACTGGGACATATGTAGTACTATTTCATTATGGATTTAATTATCGTGTTTTCCTCAAGACGGCTGTTGTGGACTATGTTTTCATGTGTTTATTGGTCATTCTAGTAAGAAATACAGGTACTACATTCTGTTGTTAACTATAGCTACAAATCTTTTGCTCTTTCTCTTGGTTTTATAATTGAGATAGAGGAATTTTAATTATATTTTGGATGTAAATTAAAAAAAAATTTTATTTATCTTTAGAAGGGAAGAGGAGAGGAGGAGGGAAATATCAATGTGTGGTTGCTTCTGGTGCATCCCCTGCTGGGAACTGGCCCCTGCTGGGAACTGGCCTGCAACCAGGCATGTGCCCTGACGGGGAATTGAACTGCAGTCTATTGGTTCGCAGGACCGTGCTCAATCTGGATATAAATTTTTTTGTTGTACATACATACTCATTTTTTCCTGCTGCTGTAACAAATTGCCGTAAACTTAGCAGCTTAAAACAGCACACGTTTATTACCTGATAGTTTTAAAGTTAGAAGTCTGCACTGGTTCAGAGTGTAGGCAGGAGCGTGTTTCTTTGGAAGCTCCAGGGGAGAATCCATGTCCTCGCCTTTTCAGCTTCTAGAGTCCACCTCCTCCTGTGGCTTGTGGTCCCCTCCTCCATGTTCAAAGTCAGTGGTGTCAAATCTTCCAGTCTTTACACTGGACCCACTTGGATAATCCAGGATGATTCCATCTCACGATCCTTAATCAAATGTGCAAAGTCCCTTTTGCCATGTAAAGTAACATAGTCACAGATTCCAGAGATTAAGACAGGGACAGCTTTGAGGGGGCCATTGTTTTGCCTACTGCACAGGTATCATGAATATTTCTCTGAGTCTGGTTTACTTTTCATTTTTTAAAAATATTTTATTTATTCGTCTTTAGAGAGGAAGGGAAGGAGAGAGGGAGAGAAACATCAATGTATGGTTGCCTCCCGTACATCCCCTGCTGGGAACTGGCCCGCAACCCAGGCATGTGCCCTGACTGGGAACTGAACCTTGATCCTCTGGTTCGCAGGCATATGCTCAATCCACTGAGCTACACCAGTCAGGGCTACTTTTCATTTTTTTTAAATCTTTTGAATAGCAGAAGCTTTTGACTTGATCAAGTCCAATTCACCTTTTAAAAAAATTTTTGACAGTTAGTGCATTTTATTCCTGTCAAAGAGGTCTTTCCATTTACATGGACATGATTTTCTCGTGTTTTCTTATTAAAGGCTATAGTTTTAGCTTTTACTTTTCAGACAGTGATTCACTTGAGTTATTTTTCTGAGTGTGTGTATATGTATTAGAGAAGGGTCAGGTTTCCCCTCCACCTCCACCATAGATGTCAAGCTGTTTCCATTATTTGTTAAAAGACTATCCTTGCGTCATTGAATTACCTTACAGTTTGTTGAAAATCAATCGACCATATATGTGTTGGTCTATTCTAGACTCTATTCTGTTTAATATATACTGGATGGGCAAAAGTAGGGTTACAAATAATACAAATAAATAATACAATAATTGATAAGTAAATAATAATACAAGAGTAAATTCTGTGTTTTATGTACTCCACACTAAAGCTACCTCTGCCAACCCCCTGTGTCTATTCTTACAGCACTAGCATCTGGATCACTGTAGTTTTATAGTGTCTTCACCTCAGGTAGTATGATAAGTCTTTCAAATGGATTCTTTTTCAAATTTGTTTTGACTATTCTGGTTCCTTTGCATTTCTCTATACATTTCAGAATTCACTTTTCTATAAGAGGAAAGCCTCCTGGGATTTGATTTGGATTGCGTTTAATCTACAGATGAATTTGGAGAGAATTAACAGTTTAACAGCCTAACCCATGAGCAAGCTATATTTCTCCATTTGGTTTTTTATTTTTTTAGTTTGCTTAGCAATATTTGGGTAGCTTTCAGTGTACAAGTCTTTCACATCTTTTGTTAGATTTATCCTTAATATTTTTTATACTGTCATAAATGGTATTTTCCTTTTCAGTTTAATTAATTCTCTTGTATTCTTCTTGTTTAAAAACACTGTTTGGTGGCCACAGCTGCAGCTGGGTCCTGTGCACAGAGACTGTGGGGTGGGTCGTGAGGAGATGGTCAGTGAGTTCCTGATAGAGAGACTTAGGGAACGAACAGCCTCCTTCCAGAGGTCAGGGGTAAGAGAGCTTTACATCTTAGAGACAGCACTGAAGGTGGCCTTGGCAAAGTGGTCCAAGGGGGCAGTGCAGCCTCTGGCTGAGCAGTTGTTAGTACCTGCTATCAGTGGCAGGTAGAGGACATGAGGCCAGAAAAATAGCAATGGGTCCAGGTGTTGAGGATGAAGCACACCAGCACAGAGCTGCAGCATCCTTTCCTTGTGCAAGGAACCACGTGGGGTTTGCCAGTCCTGTTCCCCCAGGAGTCCTACTGCACAGGACAGTGGCAAACTTACCATGATAATGGCCCTATGGATGGCAGTGCTTATCTCCTTGGAGCATTTGCACCCGACATGACTGTCATAGTCCTGATGGCAGCAAGTACTTGGAACCTGATCTGCTGGCTAGTACAGTGGTCTGCTGGTCTGCTTTTACAATGCATAAGCATGAGGGGTGTCCCCAGGAAAAAGGCAGTGATCTCAGATGCCTCGATGGGTAGGAAGAGGAGATAAATCTCCTCCAGGGACCTGGTCTTGATGTTCTTGACCTGGGTAAACACTGATAAATTGATGGTTGTAAGAGGGGGACAAAATGTATTTGAAAGTATGGGGTTTGTATGGAGGTGTTTTTTGACTGTTGACTGTCAGCATTTACCCTTTGTAACCTTCCAGCAGTCTGTCTCCAGTTGTGTGCCACTGGTGTGATTTTCAGTAAATTGTGCCCTTTGGTCTGACTCTGACAGGTACTAGAGGCACAGAGAAGGCATCAGAAGGAGAAATCTGGCATCATACCTACCTCGCCAACACCCTACACTTACAACAAGGTAGGGGATGAAATATTTATCTATTTCTATCCCTTAACATCCCTCTGCAAAGGAAGCAGCCACACATGTATTTGGAGTTTTAAGTTTTTGTCTGATAATTAGGTTCTTATCAATTGAACCTTTGCAGTAAGAACCAAGTGCTATGGTCACTATAGGTTATTTATTTGTCTAGCTGTACAGTCCAGTAACCACATTTAAAAGACTGGGTTGTCTTTAATTTATTTGTTAACATCTCTGCATGAATGGATTGGATTCCTGCATGATACATTATTTCACAGTATTTCTTTTCCTTCTCTTCCTGTTCCATTTTGGGAATCTGATGGTGCTCATGAATTAGCATATTCATCAAAATTATACTGCAGATGAGTAGTATTTTGAAAGAATAAACAGTTCATGTTACTTTTGAATGTGCCTATATGTTGGTCTAGATATAAACTTTATATTGGCAACTAAATGGACATTGAATGCTACACTGGCAAATAATTTTTAGTTTTAGGTTTCCTTCCTTCCTTCCTCCCTTCCTTCCTTCCTCTCTCTTTTCTTTCTTTTCTTCCTTTCTTTCTTCCTCCCCTCCCCTACTTTCTTTCTAGAAGGAGAGAGATGAAGGGAGAGAGAGAAATATCAATTTGTTGTTTCACTTATGCAATCATTGGTTGCTGCTTGTATGTGCCCTGACCAGGGGTCAAACCCGCAACCTGGGTGTATCAGGATGACACTCTAACCAACTGAGCTACATGGCCAGGGCTGACAAATAAATTTTAATGAAAATATGTAATAAGATATAATTAAAATTTTGAAAATTAAATACCGCAACCTTAATTAAAAAGATAAAAAAAGGAGTAGGCCAGGAGACTTGCTCTGGTTTTACCACTATTTGGTTGCGTGACGTTCATTAGGTCACTTAGTTTGACTCTTGACAGATGACCTTACAGATGGATGACAAGATCTATGTAGTATCAGTTTCCTTATGTGTCAAGTGAGGGATTTGAAGCATTTTTAATATTCCTTTTTACCTCTGTAAATTTATAATGTGTTCTACAGCATGGTTCATATCATCTACGGACATCCATTAGTATGATGCCAAAACACGGGTGAGAGTACCCGAGACACCCCATTTTCTAGGCTTCCCTCAGAGCCTCTGGGCTTGAGGGAAAACATGTGACCAGAGTGGTAGGCTCCTTGGGCCCCTCTCTCAGGTGAACACTGCTTTTGTCTTGCAGTGCAAGAGAGGCTTAAATTTAAGCCTCTGAGGACTCAGTTTCCAAGATTGGTGGAGCTGCATTTAACTAAAATAGGAGTCCTTTATTAATAAGTATGCCTTGTTTATTAATAATCATACTGTGATTCCAGGTAGTGGAGTCCCCTTAATACCTATAGACATGGTAGTCGGTGGCACTTTGCTTCCTTTCAAAAGTATCTTCCCCAAGACTGGTGTATGGCGTTGCGAATGGGCACAGTGAATCCTTTGTGGCCAAAGGAGTGCTCTTAGACCTCCTCTTTTCCCCTCCAGTGCCTCTCCTTGATTTGTGTCAAATTGCTTTGGGCTTTTATGAAACGACTTGTGCTATATTATGGGGTTGGCCTACCTTGTCTCACCTGCTTTATTCCTGCACCCTTACCCTGCCCGGGTTGACAGAGGACATGTTTTACAACCAGCTGGCTTCTAACTATTACTCTTTCTGGCTGGGGACAAAGTGTCCTACATCTGTGCCCAAGAATCAGAAGGTAGCTTGGGCCTAAGCAGTGAAATAAAAGTGACTGTTTATTTTACCCCAGACCTGTACGCTGGTGGTGGCACATAAAAAGTAAGGAGTGGATAGTTAGATTTCCTGAAATGGTTCCAGTCTCTGTTCAGTGAGTCTTGGGTATATCAGCCTGTGTATGTCTGGGCTGGTCCTGGGGGCTTTATTTTGGAGCTGTACCTCTGCTGTGAGTGACCATGTTCTTCTTGCTTTCAGAGCTGTGACTTGTGGTCCCTGGGCGTGATCATCTATGTGATGCTGTGCGGATACCCTCCTTTTTACTCCAAACACCACAGTCGGACTATCCCAAAGGACATGCGGAGAAAGATCATGACAGGCAGTTTTGAGTTTCCAGAGGAAGAGTGGAGCCAGATCTCAGAGATGGCCAAAGATGTTGTGAGGAAGTGAGTCCCTGGGCCACTGGGTGGGGAGGCCGAGGAGGCCTTCAGATGGTGGAGCACAAGGGAATGCTGAGTAGAAAAAAGTCATGTGTTTCTCTCCCAGGCATGTTCCTTCCTGTTTAGCATCACAGAAACTTATCCCTGGAGCCTGAGATGAGAGTTCTCAGTGTCCACAACTCAATGAGAATGGAGCTTTGCTCTCCTGTTGCTTCCTAGAATTTATCCCCAGGGTTGTGAGCCCAGGTTCCTCAGTAGCCAGTGTCTCTGTGAGCATTAATTCAGGACCTTAAACAGTAATCTCTACCACCCACACCCTGGCATGTGCTCTCTTGTATGTAAGCCAGTCATTTGCAATGGACGTGACTCCAGGAACTGAACTGGGGGGGTTAAGACAATGACAATGCTTTTGGCTTTTAATTCCTTGGCCGCTGTGAGAATACGTGATTGATGGTGGGGTGCCTGGACCCCACTCTCTGGCCATTTCACTGCTAGTTGGTTGCTCTGACATGTATGAAGATGGGAAGGTTTAGAAGAATTAGGGCTAGTGAGTAGATGAGGGAGAGTTGCCATTCAGAGTCCTTTGGTAGCTAGAGGACTACATAAGAAGTCACAGCTAAATTTGAAGTATATTTGCTTTTTTTGCCTACATATGTGGGAGGCTCAGCTGCCTAGGACTTGGGCACTGTTTTGGTATTCCTACTGTTTGGTTTTACTGAGCAGTTTTCTTTCTTTTTTTTTTTTTTGGTTCCAGTTTCTTCATCTGTAACATGATAAAGACACTCATTAAAGGGGCAGTATCTGGGAACCGTCTTCTGACAGTACAGCCATTTCTCTATGGAGATTATTCTCTTTCCAAAGTGAGCTTGTCCTGTTGGTTAGGCTTCTGTATATATAAAGAGGGACTAGTTTCTAAAAACAAGTAAAAGGTTTTTTAGGATAGTGGAGGCAATGTTTAAATCTTCCCATGCTATTCCCATGCTGTATTCTCAGCTACTTAACTAAAACATCAATATCCCCTAAGTGGTTCTTTGTCACTTCTATAGAATGTATTTCCTGTTCTTAGAGCAACATCGATTCTTTTCTCATTAATCCTTTCTTTAGAATCTGAAGCCGTTTGTTCAGAATGATCCAGAAGGTTGCAGAGAACATGAAAGAGCAAGCAGGCCTATTGTCCTGACTCTGAGACTTGGAATGGGAGGATAGGTAGTTGGAAGAAGGTGCTGTAAACAGACCAGGGAGGGTGCTGGGGTGAGCTTGGAATTGCATCGGCACGAATGGACAAGATGTAAAGAAGTTGGATCAGAGCAACATATCAGGCTTAGAAGGAAACACCATCTCTTTTTCAGAGACTAGATGTTTCGTGCTTTTGAATGTTTACGCTAGAATAAAATGTTCATGTCCTGCCATATGGTAACATCTGAAAGTTTTATTATAAGCAGCAACCTGGGTTTTTAAAACCTCCTGACCCTTCAGCTAATTTTGTAGCCACTGTTAGCCAAAAGAGCACTCTTAGTCCATTTTGGAAATTAGAGCCCACTGTCCTAGAAACATCAATATGAAGAATCAGGGTCTCAGGAACTGTTAGCCATATGTAGGATTATCTTACTGACTAGAAGTCAGTCTGAAGTATTATTGGATTAGCCTTTTCCTACCACTTTAAAAAAAATTCCTAGTTGTTATATGTACATTCACTAAAAATTGTTTCTCCCACAAAGTAACTATTTTGCAAATTTACCTTTGTAATTGGATACAAAAGTCAATAGCAAAAAAGCCAGTCAAATTGAGTTGTGGAGGGTTGTTTTCCAACTTTAGTGACACTAACTTTAGTTGAGTTCTGATAACACACTACCATCGGACTAGCCCTTTTCCTACCACTTTTATGTCACTTTGTACAGGTAGAAAGGACTGCGTAAGGACACAGTGCCCTTACAGCTAGTGGTTAGGGCTACCACCCAACCCCCCACCCCACGCAGTTGGAAAGCCTAGATTTGTAGGAGTTGGAAGAAAGTCAGAAGCTAGGTCTGGTTAGAGAAAGACCCCAGAACCTCCTGGACTTCTGGAAGCAACTGTGCATGGCAGCCCTGTTGGCCTTTTCTCCACAGGCTCTTAAAGGTCAAACCAGAGGAGAGACTCACCATTGAGGGAGTACTGGACCACCCCTGGCTAAACTCGACTGCAGCCCTGGATAATGTTCTACCCTCTGCTCAACTGATGATGGATAAGGTTTTGCATGATGCTTATTTTGTTGGCGTATAAGACTCTGTTGAGAAGGAATGCTGGGACTTAAGTTAGTGAGGGGTTAAAGGCAAAACAATGCTGAACAGACAGTCTCTTCCAGAGAAACCTCTCTGGTTTCCTGAAAATCGGGATTGGCAATAAAGAGCTTCTTTATACAAAAGAAAAGATCAAGGCCTGCTCAATATACATTAAGGGAACACAACACTCACAGGAATGTCTACCCTATGATCATCAGTTGGAAAAGCTGCCTGACTTCCTTGAGGAGAAGGCAGGGAGAGGTGTGAGGGGGCCAGGGGTTTAATCTTATTTCAGTCAGATGGAGTTGAGAGGCCACTGCAGATTTTTGAGAAGAGGTTTATACAGGAAAGGTATTTAGGGATGGTCACCCAGACTTGCAGATGCCAACGTAGGACTTCGAGATAATCTGCAATCTGAGGGGCAGCTCTGGGAGCAGAGAAGTAGAGATGAATGACTATGTTCAATACTTCTGAAGGCAAATTTCTACAATTTTTGATGATTGACTAGATATAAGGGGACATTGGGTGGCATATCAGGTGGTACCACTGCCAAGTAGAGAGAAGTCAGGGACAAGGCTAGTTTGAGTGAAGGGACTCCTTTAGATTTTAGGAAATTGTTTCAAGTGGTAGATGGACACTCGAATGAATGGGATGTGTGGTCTGGAATCAGCATGGCTGAGAGGCAAAGGCAGCGGCAAAGACTTGAATGTTACCCCCTTGAAAGTAATGGGGTTGAAGTATGACAAAGAATAAGTGAATAGGAAAAGAGAATGCTAAGACCTTCCTTAGTTTACGTGGAATATGGGAGAGAAAGGAGAGTGAGAAAGAGCAGACCTCTCTGCCATCTCTGACCTGTGTACGGTTATCTTCCTGGTTTAAATATGCCCAGTAGTACAAAAGTGGTTTGGTCAGTTCAAAGGGATTACGTAGATCATCCTCTGGTTGTCAGTACACAGGGGTTACAACGTAGCTTTCTTCAAGATCTTGGAAATGAAGAAATAATTGCCTTCAGGAGTTACTTTAAAAATTAATGCAAAATGAAGCCAGGTATGGATATGCAGAATCTTCTTAATGATAAAGACAGGCTCCTAGACCTATAAGGTGAAACTTTAACAACACAATATATTCCTATTTTTATAGAATATTGTGGTCATGATGTTGATTGGTCAACTTCGGGAGGATAGAAAAATGGCTACATATGCAGATGTAGAATAGTGTCCATCTAAGGCCTGCTACCATCTAGAAGCTGGAGCCTGAATTCACGCCCTTGAGCTGATCCCCTTTCTGGTTGGGCTGTCACTGGTGAACAAACCAGCATGAGGGTCCCAAGTGGTGTAGCCAGGGCCAGCTATTACAGTTCCTGTAAATGAGTTTGAACTCTTCCTGATTTATTTATTTATTTTTTAAATTTTATTTAGTTATTTTTCAAGTACAGTTTTTTGTCTATTTCTCCCATCCCAGCCTCCCCCGCCCTGTGCTCCCCACCTCCCTCCCATTTCCACCCCCCTTAGTTCTCGTCCCTGTGTCCTTCCTATTTGTTCCTCCAAATCCCTCCCCCTTTTTCCCCTTAAATTCCCTTCCTCTCCCCTCTGGTCACTGTCCCCTTGTTCTCTATTTCAGTGTCTTTGGTTTTTTTTCTGCTTGCTTGTTTGTTTTGTTGTTTAGCTTCCTGTTAAAGGTGAGATCATATGGTATTTGTCTTTCAACCCCTGGCCTATTTCACTCAGCATAATGCTTTCCAGTTCCATCCATGTTGTTGCAAAGGGTAGTAGCTCCTTCTTTCTCTCTGCTGCATAGAATTCCATTGTGTATATGTACCACAATTTTTTGATCCATTCATTTACTGACGGGCACCTAGGTTGCCTCCAACTCTTGGCTATTGTAAATTGTGCTGCTATGAACATTGTGGTGCATAGGTTCTTTGAAATTGATGTTTTAGGATTCTTAGGATATAATCCTAGCAGTGGAATCCTGGGTCAAAAGGCAGGTCGATTTTTATTTTTCTGAGAAAATTCCATACTGTTTTCCATAATGGTTGTACCAGTCTGCAATCCCATGAACTCTTCCTGATTTAAAAGCACACTTACCGAGGGACTACTTTTTAAATGGTCAGATTTGATCGTTGTAAGTCAAATTGAGATATATAACATGAAAAGCAAAAGTTCCCTTTCATTTCTTTGCTTCAGTCTCACCCCTCAGAAGTGAGGTCACCTGCAGCTTGATGTATCATCCTGATCTTTTTCTGGGGAGACACCCACTTTTTTAAAGTACAAAAACGGGATTGGATTGTCTTGTTCTTACAAAGCCTCCTGCTGAGTTGTTTGCCTTCCCTTCTTGGTCTGCCCATAGTGAGAGCACGTTCTGGTCATAAAGACATAGGTTTCAAGAGTTTTCCACTTCCCAACAGTTATTTCTTACTATAAATTAATTGGCCTAGAGATCAGTGCCTGAGCTCCCACCATGCGCACTGGGTGAGACGATTGGGGTCCTGAGCCGTCAGGCTGAGGTGCGTCTCTCCACTGTGGGGCAGTCTGGGAGGCTCCTCGGGCAGTAGCCTGCCAGCCTTTTTCTTGATGTACATGTACGTCTCTCTTTACACTTGCCCTTGCCAATTACTGTGAGCCTGAGCCCTGTTAGTATTTCTTACTTGCATTTCTGTTCCCTCTGGAGGAGAGAAGGGCTGGTATTCCCTGGGCCCTGCCGATCCATGGGGAAGAATCCTCTCCCTGCTTTATTAAAATTTGTATGTGGCCAGCATAAGAATGAACTTGCCTTCCTAGTTCTTTGAGCTCTTTCCCACTGTCTTACATTGGCTTTCCAGTACTCAGAAATGAATGTGAAAAACTGATGACAGTGTTTGCATTCAGGCGGTGGTTGCAGGAATCCAGCAGGCTCATGCAGAACAGTTGGCCAACATGCGAATCCAGGATCTGAAAGTCAGCCTCAAACCCCTGCACTCTGTGAACAACCCCATTCTGAGGAAGAGGAAATTACTCGGGTAACTGAGTTTATTTCATCTCCTCTCCATGGTTGGTGTGGCTGAGCCAGGGGTCTACCCATTTTCTGCCTCTTGAGTGGGTGGAAATGATAGGCTTTTTAAATAGCATCGGAAGTTGGAGATACTCTGTAGTGAATTATTTATCTGAAAAATCTGTTGCCTTATGTTTAGAGTTAATATCAGTTGAGAGTTGAGTTTTGGGGTCTCACCTTGTTATTACCTCTCTCCCAAACTGTTAAAGCACCAAGCCTAAGGATGATGTTTATATCCACGATCGTGAGAATGGAGCCGAGGATTCAAATGTTGCCTTGGAAAAGCTCCGAGATGTGATTGCTCAATGTATTCTCCCCCAGGCTGGTAAAGGTCACACTGTTTATCAATGCTTTGTGTGTGTGTGTATGCACGTGTGCATGTGTGCACATGACAGTAGGAGTGGTTTAGATTAAGATTATTTCATCTTTGTGTATAAGAAAGTAAGTACATTATATAAATTAGTCTGTGCCCACTCAAAAGGGTGGGTGGTAGGAAGTCAGAAATGTGTTAAGTTCTACCCTTCCTCTGGTTTTCTGTGACATTTTTTAAAAAGATTTTATTTATTTATTCTTTAGAGAGAGGGAAAGAGAGGGAGAAAGAGAGGGAGAGAAATATTAATGTGTGGTTGCCTCCCTTGCACCCCTAACTGGGGACCTGGCCCACAACCCAGGCATGTGCCCTGACTGGGAATCAAACCACCGACCCTTTAGTTCACAGGTCAGCACTCAATCCACTGAGCCTCATCAGCCAGGACAGGGTGACATTTCTAATTTGAGTTTAATTGCCAGTGTCAGATGCAGCATGTAATTTTATATATTTTTAGTTAGTTAATGATGACATGAGATGGAGGATGTGGACAGAGTTGAGATCAATTTGGGAAGGTCAGACTTCATTTCCAGAGCCTTTGGAGTACAATGCTTTATTAACTTGTGAATATAAAAATACCTGCCAAGTTCAGAAGTGGGCCCTGCTGCTGCTTGTGTCATGGACAGAGGGTAACTTATACATGGATTATTTTGAGTGAGAGCTTGACTTGGTATGTTATTTCTCTACTCAGTGGCATGTGATAGGCTTTTCTCAATAGATGAAAGAGATCCTTCAAGTAATAAGCCAGAAAACTGTTGTGTTGACCTGTCCTAGATTCCTTGCATTTTAAGAGAACTCATATAGTGTACTCAGGTAGTCTTCCAAAGTAAGAAATGAGCTGAGGAGAAAGAAGGTAGGCCACTCAGCCTTGTTCTTCCTCCATCTCTTGGCCTGTTAGGTTAACCAGAGACTTAACCTGTTTTTGCTCAGCAATAGAGTCTGACACTGCCTACTTCTCATCCCCCAGTGCGAAGACTCTGGGGCCATCAGTGGATTTGTGTTAGGCTGTAATAGTAGAAGAGTTCAAAGACCAGAAGTGGTCTCTATGTCTGGTAGAGTGCACCTTCACTCATCACTTCTCAACAAAGCTGAACATCATGTCCTTCCATCTCTGACACTAAAATCCCATGATGCTGCAGGGAAACACAACTTTTTCATCTTTATCAATAGGAGAAAATGAAGACGAAAAGCTGAATGAAGTAATGCAAGAGGCTTGGAAGTATAACCGAGAATGCAAACTCCTAAGAGATACTCTGCAGAGCTTCAGCTGGAATGGTAGGAGCCTTAATTACACCTTCCCTGGGAATGCAGAGGAGTCATTATGTTTTATCTCTGGGGGCTACTTGCCAGTGTTTTTTTAAGTGAAGTTAGGCTGAAGAGTAAGTGGAATATTATGGAACCAGGGTTAGCCCTACATTAACTGCCCTGGTATATCTCGACTCTGGCCTTTTCTCTTGTTTTCCTGAGTTCAGATAAATTATGCATTGCAGATTCAACACTATAGAGCCCCCGTCACATACCACTTGGGCAAAAAACCCCCAGAGATCTCAGAACTCCTCCCACATATCTTGGCTGTTCACCAGGTCATTCAGGAGCAGTATACTCTAAAAGGACAGAAAGAAGGCAAAATACAGGGGGTCCACCCTGCTGATTTGTTTAGCTTAGAGATCTGTTTCACCGAAGAGTAGAGAATTTGCCAAATCTGCTGCTTGTGAACATTTTTCCCCAGGCAAGCAACGCAGAGATATATTCCTTGAACTGCTTTTCATATTTTCTTCCTAATTTAGCAGTCTAAACTAGATTTAAGTTTCAGAATGTTCAGCCTGGAGATTACCTTACCTGGGATTTTTAAAAAAAATTTGAAATATCAATACAGAAAAGTGATCACATTTGAAGTATGTATTATTGATGAATTTTTATGAAGGGAACATTTCCCTATAACCAGCCCCTAGAACATGTAGTAGAACATGGACCCTCTTCTAACCACTGCCCTCCTCCCCCAAGGGTAATCATGATCTTCACTGCTGGCACTATAAATTAGTTTTGCCTGATTTTGTAGTTTATATAAATGGAACTGGAGAAGTCTGTGCTCTTTGTGTCTCGCTTTTAGTTAACATTGTATTTGTGAGATTCATCCTGTTGTATGTAGCAACAAATCATTCTCATTATATATGTTTTTTTTTGTGTGTGTATATATATGTATATATATATATATATTCTCATATATTTCTCTATACAGGGGTGGGCAAAAGTAGATTTATAGTTGTGAGTATGTAACATAGTTTATTCTTATGTTATTTATTAATTATTATATTGTTGTTTTATATTAATCTTTTTTATTATTTTATAGCCTTACTTATGAAAAGTATTATTATCTTTTAGGTAATGATGGCTGGTAATTTAACCTACCCTGTGTCTGTGTGTATTTATGTATATGTAAAGGACTTCTGTGAACGCTCTTGTGTATGTCTTTTGAAGAATATTTGATGAATTCATTTCTCTTACCTTTTACATATCTATGATTAGAAGTGCTGGTTCATGGGAATATTCATTTGTTTGGCTTTAGTGGGTACTGGTACAAGTTTTCCAAGATTGACACTTTAACTAGCAGTGTTTTTGAGGGTTCTAGGTACTCTGCCTCCACACAAACACTTGCTATTATGTCTTTTTTTATTTTAGTCATTCTGGGTAGTATATAGCAGTATTGCAGTGTCATTTTACTTTGCCTTTGCCTGATGACTAATGCGCTTTAGCACTTTTAAAGTGTTGATTGGCCATTCAGATTTCCTCTTTTGTGAAGTGCCTATTCTTTTACCATTTTTTCTGTTGAGTTATATCTTTCTTATAGATGTGCTCTTTATACATTCTAGATATGAGTCCTTTGTCACACATATATTTATAAAGATCTTCCTCTTCATGGTTTCCTTCTGTGCTGTTGTACTGAACATTGGATTTTTACGATTTTACTGCTGGGTTAATGGAACTGCTCAATTGCACAATGCAGGGTCCGAACTGCTTTTGATCAGTATTGGGGATGAATTTGATACTCCATTGGTGGGGGTGAATTTGACACTAGTAAGGTGTACTTTACTGGATTCCTGTCAGGAATCTGTCTCCTCCCAAAAAGGTTGGAGATTGACCTTTTTCTTTCTTGGGTTTCAGGTCGTGGATTCACAGATAAAGTAGATCGACTCAAACTGGCAGAAATTGTGAAGCAAGTGATAGAAGAGCAAACCACGTCCCATGAATCCCAATAATGACAGCTTCAGACTTTGTTTTTTTACAATTTGAAAAACTATTCTTTAATGTATAAAGTAATTTTTATGTAAATTAATAAATCATAATTTCATTTCCACATTGCTTAAAGATGCTGTATAGATTTAGATATGGTATTTACTAATAGTGTAGTTCATTTGTTTTTAAGAAAAGCTCAGTTTCTAGAGATGTACTATTACTTTAGGACTGTTTAGTCATGTTTGTAAGATGACAGATGATATTGTCAAGCAAGATTGTTTTATTTGTAATAAAGTCTATGAAAACCACTTGCCAGCGGTAGACAAAGGACCAACTATACTGATCTTTCTACTTAGTAAACAGTTGAATCAGATACTGTGGAATTTGGTTTTGACTGCCCTGTGTATTTACTTTCTGCACTATTGGGAGATCAGCTCTGGTGCCAAGAAATGTCTGTGGATCCATGATGCAGAATGCCTGCTGAAACTCACAGGACACCAGCACCCGTGGTGGGAGAGACAGGGAGCTGAGCCTTCACCTCTGTTATCCCTAATTCCCAAGAGAAAAGTGGTAACACTTTTTTTTTGGTCATGTTTGTTAAAAGGTATTGGTGTGATTCTTAAATTTAATGGATTCTTTCAAGTTTATTCTTTTCATGCTTAATCAAAGTTTCAGTTTCCCTTCCCCTGAGATCCAACTTGGTCCTCTCCTTTCTGGCAGCCCTTGCTAGTTCCATTGTGTCTTTCTTACTTTCCCTGTTCTTCTGGCCCTCTTAGGGGATGATTTTTCTGAGAAAGTTACATTTCATGAAAAATGGACTCCTAAATTAGCATCCAAGAAGGTTCAGGTTTTTTTCTCTTCAAGCTGCCATTTTTCTCTGTAATGTTTCTGCCTGGGTTTCATATTGGCATCCCTTAAGCCGCATATATTTTGTTCTGCCACCTTCGTTTGCAAGAAGCATGCTTCTGGCTGAATTCAGCTGTTTGAATGGAAAACAAGGCTGGATGCTTTCCTGGTTTTTTGTTTGTTTTTGTTTTTGTTTTTGTTTTGCAAATAGGTTTCCATAACAAACCATGTTTATTTAATTATTTTAAAGCTGTTTTTGGTGGGTACCTATGTTGGTAAATAGAAGAGCTAATAGGCAAACTCCAATTTGCAAAGCAGAGGAAAAAGGATCAGTAGGCTCAGATATTCAGTTTTATCCTGTCACATTCTCGTCAATCAAAAGCCATCTCACAGAGCTAACTTATTTTCTAATTCTTCATTTTGCTGAGTATGTCAGCAAGGTGACATTTAGTTAGTATTCCCTATCTATGTGTGTTACTATGGAAAAATATGATAATACAAAGTATCTTTTAAGAATTGTTTTTTTACATTGGTTCCCCTTTATCTTGGAGAATTTGTAATTCAGGTATTTTTTGAGGTATGATTCACTAATATTAGGTGACTGATAACTGTGATAAATGGAAACCCTGTAAGGAGCATTCAGTGCTTTTAAACATGCCAAAATTTAAGAGGCAGCAGAGAAAAAATGTATTCTTATTTACTGACCAGAAAACTTAGCTAAAAGTTGAGTTGAGGGTTGAATTACATTATTCTATTTTTTAGTGAAGTGCAAATCACTTCTTGCAGTCAGGAAAAACTGCAGTTGTTTCTAGAATGTTGACTGCTTGTTGTTTTTCTCACCTTAGGACAGAGGTTCAGTAGTCACTGGGGATAGAAGGTAGTAATTAACTGTGTTACTTTTTCTTCGGAGTAACTTTCTGGCATGCCAAGTCTACCATTAAGTTCTCAGGTTTGTTGTTTAAGCGTCTTCTAATGGTTCAGGATGGTTTTATTTCTTCAGTGTGTGATGAACTTTAGGCGTGATGGAGGCAGGGTATCCAAAATGATGGTCCTGTTTATCTGAGCAGCAGTTGTCCATGTGTCAGTTGTCTCAGACATAATGAATCTGACACCCCAAATGTGCACTGTCTCCAGACACACCCAGAAGAACCCCAGGCTGGAAGTTTGTGAATACCCTGCAGGATGCTCCAGTTGTTGTAACTCAAAAGTGGGTCCTACCCTGGACAGAGCTCCTTGACAAAACAATAGCTCCCAAAGGACTCAACAGTGTTAGATCTTTGAAGTGGAAATTTCTAAGTGGAATGAGATTGTAGGCCAGTAGTAAGTACTTCCTTAACAAACCAGTCAGGTTCACTAATAAAACAAAATTTGCACGTAACTGGAAGTGAGACAGAATCATCCTTGTCTCTTTTGGCCTGCCTTTCTAATACCTAAACCTGCAGCTAATTCACACTGTAAGAACAGTTCTTGTAGGCAGGAGGTTAGAGTCTCCAGTTTTACCATATGACTTGCTAACCTCTGCTTACTAAAGCCATTACTTATCACTCAAATACCTTTAGACATTACCATAGTTATATATCTGCTTGATGTAAAAACAACTTGTATATCTTTCTATCTAATATGTTGTATAAGCATAGGAGACTATCTCTCAGAAATTTATCATTGGAAACATTGATAGGAACTACTTTTGAAAAAGAGTTTTGTTCTTGTATTTATTTGAGAAAGAACAAGTTGAAATTATTGAAGAAAAAGTCAAATGATTTAAATCAGATCATGTGTATGAATGCTTGTGTGTATGTTATTTATTGAAAATGTTTCATTTTGAGAACTGGAAAATTATTGGATATTTAATTTTAATTATATTTTTATTTATTTAAAAAGTAGAGGTTTTCTTTCATTGTTGATTTAATTCTTTAATTCCACAAAATGACTTAACCTAACTTCCCCTGCTTGTTTTGGTTAAGACACAGGGAAACATGTTAAATCTGATAATTTCTAAATTATATATAATTTACTATATATATATAAATATATACATTATATATAATTACTATGTAACTGTAAGAGGCTTTTCTCTTATATAAACTACAAGGGAAAAAGGGATCCAACTAGAAATCATTTTCCCTTTTTTGCCCTAGATTTTTTAAATGGTTTGTGATATGACTAAATTTTCTTGCTAGATGCTAATGATAAATTTTATCATCTATATTAAGAATTAAATATTAATTGGGGATAGTTAATGAGTTGATCTGCTATCATGCTCATATCTGAGATCTTGTGGTATCATATCATTCCTTCATGAATTAGATAAGGTAGCTCCCCATTTTTTAGTGTTAAACTTGTACTCATAACCGTTATTTTATATTGTAAATATCTGACTTAATATAAATTATTTTTATGCAAGGTGAAAGATGTAGAGTCTTATTTTACTTCATCTTAAAATACACAGAAAAATAACTGACTGGGCAAGGGATGTGATAGAGCTCCGCCCCCCCCCAACTTTTTCCTTTTAAGTCTGTACTGCAGAGTACATCAGGAAATCAACATTAAAACCAAATCTGAGGATTTCTGCAGAGATTACAGTTCAATTTCAGTTATAAAAATGAAGAAATCTTTTAAAAGGTCTTACAGAGTTCACTTTTATTTTCTTGGTGAAATGGTGTCTGTAAACTGGTTAATAATCAGTTTGTTTTTATGTTGGGACAGTTAGGAGAAGTTGAACTTTGATCCTAGTCACTTACACCACCTCCGTGGTAAAACTGAGCTCATTTCACTTAATACTTAGTATGTCTGTGTATTAGGAAAACATCTTAAAAGAGAGAAATTATGTTTATATGCTGATATAAAATGTCAAAATTCATCTGTTATGAACAAAGGCTAATGAGGGAGAATTTGTGCATCTACATATGATTTTTGAATTAAGGGAAAAAACATACTGACAAAGAAGGGTTGGACTGATAAACAGCACCGTGAATTACAATAGAAATGAGCAATTACAAAAGAAAAATGAGATAGTAGGCAACAGAGAGAACTCTGTCCTGCTCATAGATCCCCAAAGAACCCCTGTCCCCTCCCCCCAACCTCCTACCAGAATGTTGGGTTTCAAAGAATGAGCAGATTAACGGATATTGAGGAGTCCTGTGGCCTCAGCTAAGGATAAGGATAATTGGTCAGAGTTATCTGTACTGGCTGAATCATTACAGACCTTCTACTTGATATGTCTCTCTGTAAGGGGAAAGGGAACATAGCCAAGGAGAGTTAAAGCTGTTGCTGTTTGAACAAAGTCATATAATAAGGAAACTACTGAATATCAAGAGAGAAGCAAGAATACAACTCAGCCTCAAAGTCCGTAAGACTCAGAGCTGGACAGCAGTTACCCATAAGGGAACCATCATAGATTTGCGTCTCCAAGGTTTACCATGCCAGGGACAGTGGCTGCTGCTGAACATAGGCCTAGAATCATCAACTGATTCGCCAGTGCCATGTCATGGCCACCTCTGGGAGAGACTCTGCCCCTATATGGCCTTCTCCATGGAGAAACCAAGTGGCCTTGAGAGAGGGTAAGATAGATTTTCAGATTTGGGCACAGCAGAAGAGGGACTTGAGGCCGGGGATAGTGCCAAGATCATGTGTCAAGTTGGAAACTATAGTGCTGTTGGTGATTTTTCTGCCAAGCTTCAACTGTGCCCTGGGATCAGCACGTTACTCTTCCTATGAAATAGTCACCCCTGGGGCTCTGACAGTTGAGGGAAGGGAAGACCCAGTGGGAAAGGTATCTTATGTGATATCTGTGCAGGGCCAGAAACTGCTGATCCACCTGAAGGTGAAGAGAGACCATTTTGTCCATAACTTTCCAGTCTTCAGCTACCACAATGGCATCCTGGGACAAGAAAGGCCTTTCATCTCACGTGACTGTCACTATGAAGGCTACATAGAAGGAGTCCCGGGGTCTTTTGTTTCTGTCAACACCTGTTCAGGCCTCAGGGGCATCCTGATTAAGGAGGGACAGTCCTATGGCATTGAGCCCATGGACTCTTCAAAACGGTTTGCACACGTGCTGTACACCATGGCACATCAAGCTCGAGTCTCCTGCAGCGTCACTTCCAAAGAAAGCCCAGTGGGGTCCACCAGCAGGCCACCAGGGAGCAGGAAGCCTGGTGGTCTACAGGCACTGTCCTACTTGTGGTCACACGCCAAGTACGTGGAGATGTTTGTTGTGGTCAACAACCAGCGGTTCCAAATGTGGGGCAGTAACGTCAGTGAGACAGTCCAGAGAGTGATGGACATCATTGCCCTGGCCAACAGCTTCACTAGGGGAATAAACACAGAGGTGGTGCTGGCTGGGATGGAGATTTGGACCGAGGGCGACCCCATAGAGGTCCCAGCGGACCTGCAAGTGGCACTCAGGAATTTCAACAGCTGGAGACAGGAGAAGCTCCTCCATCGTGTGAAGCATGACGTTGCCCACATGATTGTTGGACAGCATCCTGAACAGGGCATGGGGCAGGCATTTCTCAATGGTGCCTGTTCCACAGGCTTTGCAGCAGCTGTGGAATCCTTCCATCATGAAGATGTCCTCCTGTTTGCAGCGCTCATGGTCCACGAGCTTGGGCACAACTTGGGGATTCAGCACGACCACTCGGCCTGCACTTGTCAAGATAAACGCCTCTGCCTCATGTATGAAGATATCACTAAAGAAAGTGGCTTCAGCAACTGCAGCTCTGACTACTTCTACCGGTTCCTGCAGGAACACAGAGGGGCCTGCCTATTTAACAACCCTCAGCACAAAGGCCGCTTGCGGAGGGATTCCACCTGTGGAAATGGGGTGGTGGAGGGCGAGGAGCAGTGTGACTGTGGGTCTGCCTGTTTCAGTCACCCGTGCTGTGACCAGACATGCAGACTGAAGGGGAATGCAGATTGTAGTGATGGGCTCTGCTGTTTTGGTTGCCGACTGAGAAATAAGGGATTCGTGTGCCGTTCTGCTTTGGGAGAGTGTGACCTCCCAGAGTATTGTGATGGTACCTCTGCAGAGTGCCCTGCAGACAGCTATAAGCAAGATGGTACATCGTGTGATAGACTTCACTACTGTGTTGGGGGTCGGTGTAGGAACCCTGATAGTCAATGCTCAGATCTATATGGGTACCCTGCACAGTCTGCCCCCGAGAACTGTTACATTTCAATAAACAGCAAAGGGAACAGGTTTGGGAACTGTGGCCGCCCCACCTCAGCAAAGCCGAGATATGTTAAGTGTTTTGATGATAATATATTTTGCGGGAAAATTATATGTACCAATATTAAATGGGTCCCGTCAATCAAACTCCATCACACGGTGATCCAGATTCCTCATGAAAATGACTTCTGCTGGAGCATGGATGCCTATAACATTACTGATATCCCTGATGACGGGGATGTGCACTCTGGCACTCCTTGTGCCCCAAACAAAGTCTGCATGAATTACTCCTGCACTGATTTCGCTGTGCTCAACTATGACTGCGATCCAGCGAGAATGTGTAGTGGGAGAGGGGTCTGTAACAACTTAAGGCACTGCCATTGTGAGGCTGGCTATGCCCCCCCTGACTGTAAAAGCATAGGTAATGGGGGCAGTGTGGACAGTGGTCCCCCTGGCAAACCAGATGATGAAAATCTAAGTGCAGATGGAAGTGGCCATCCTGCCAAACGTAAGATTGAAGTTCCAAAGGCTGGCCTTATAATTTATGTATTCCCTTCATTTCTTTTATTAACATTGATACTATTACTATGTTGCATTAGTCTTAAGTCTGGAATTGAGTCTGTAGAGACCCCAGGTGCCTCACCAGAACTGAGTTCGGAGGAATCTAGCGACCTGTTCGAGACATTCCTATCAATGGAGTCACATAGGGAATCAAATGTGGATATAGAGCAGGTGTCACTACCAGCAGAGGCCCTTGCAACAGAGGACGGTCTCCCACCAGAACAGGTCCCACCATCCGAGGCCCCACCACCAGAGACTCCACCACCAGAGGCTCCACCACCAGAGACTCCACCACCAGAGGCTCCACCACCAGAGACTCCACCACCAGAGGCTCCACCACCAGAGACTCCACCACCAGAGGCTCCACCACCAGAGACTCCACCCCCAGAGGCTCCACCACCAGAGGCTCCACCACCAGAGGCTCCACCACCAGAGACTCCACCACCAGAGGCTCCTCCATCAGAAGCCCCACCACCAGAGGCTCCACCACTGGACATTCCCCCACCAGAGGACCCCCCACCGGAGGCCCCACCAGAGCCTCCACCAGATGAAGGATAGAAATAACCAAAGTCAGAAGAGGAGTGAAGGAGGAAGCCAAATAACATCAAATACCTCAAGCACTGAGTAGGAATGAGAGGCTTAGAAAGGCAAAGATGAAGTGAGAATTGATGGCTCCAGTGGCACTGATAGGACTGCACAGTCTACAGAAACATGCATGTGAGAAGAGAGAACTGCTTTCAAAATTCTAGAAATTTGATTATATATTTATATATGTAATCATATATGAAATGTTCTATATTTTTGCCTTGTCCTAAGCTGTTTAAGCTTTTCTCACAGATCACTGCTATCGTCTCATTTTACTTAGGCCACTTTTTGACCTGACATTATTTTTCAGGGCATACCATCTTTCGTCTGCATTGTTTAATGTAACATATTATTGTACCTCCATTACTATCATAAGATTATTCAACCCAGGGACAACAATGCACTATTTTAGAAACATTACCCACTGAGTCCTCTGATTTCCCCTAACCATTTCTATTCATGAAGGTAGTTTAAAATTAATTAACTATTCAATTTAAAACCCTGTTATTTTCAGATGCAGTATCATCTCAGGCTCTATGGGACTTTCTGGAAGGGGTTATACCTTATCCAGGGTGGTCTGACTACCTGGGTCTGGGTGGATGAGGCAGGGCTGGACAACTGAGGCAAGTGCTGAGGTTATATTTGAGGTATTCTTTCCTCATTAAAAAAATTATATATTCTTATTTATTAAAATTCTATATATTTAAATATCTATATTAAAGTAAATATTTTTTCTATTGACATCTCATAGGATGTTTCTGATACAGGTAAGAATACTTTCATGTGGTAGTTATTTGTTAAGAGAACACAAAGTACATGCAGTAATATTACCCATTCTGTACCAGACACTGCTAAATAGACACTTTACATTCATTGTCTTAATATATTTAGTTGTCCCATTTATACTATGAAACTTTCATCTTGTATATGAGGAAACAGAGACCAAAAAGTTTTGCTGTAGAGCTAGTAAGGGGTGGAACCTGCATCCTGCCACAGGTATGACTGAATGTATGTTCTCTACTGCCTCATTAACCTTTTCCTTCAGTAAAAAAGAAAAAAAGAGAGATCCAAGGCCCTGGCCAGGTAGCTCAGTTAGTTAGAGTGTTGTCCTGATATGCCAAGGCTATAGGTTTGATCCCCAGTCAGGGCATATACAAGAATCGACCACTGAATGCATACATGAGTGGAACAACAAACTGATGTTTCTCTCTCTCTCTCACCTTTCACTCTATAAAGAAAAAAAAGTGACACAGAAGACATTCAATATGTCCTTACTTGCCTAGACCATGGCTTTTCTCTCGATGACTTTAATGAAACAAAAGCCTTACAAATGGATGTTGATCTCCATCATGAACTAACCACACTGTGAAGCCATTATAGGTGAAACTGACTACAGGTGAAACTGATAATGTCAGAAAATACATTCTGACATTATGGAGTGGTGGGTTTGTATCTTGTTTAGCTCTGAGGGCCTAGTCGATTGCAAGTGTTTGGTAAATGACCAAGTGGAGGACTTAACCAGAGCCAACCTTATGATAGGAAGGGAATCTCTATGGATGCCACTTGCTAGGTCCTAGGCATGGCACAACAAAAGCCTGGTTCAGGTGCACGGTTGCCACAGGTCAAATCTCAGGAGAATTCCTGAACATCAGTCAGTCTCTGACAATCCATGTACTAAAACCCTCTTCTAACTGCTCATCCTATGTAAGCAGAAAAGAACAAACAAAAGAAGAATAAGACCTGGTTTCTGCTTTCAAGAAGCTAATGTTAATTACTTTTGGAGAAACAAAACTAAACTTCAGAGCAAAATCGAAAAATCAAGCCTTCAAGCCTTCAGTTATGTAAATTTCCAAGTTATGAGACCTGCTGGTTACCACATCTCACCATGTTGTATGCCAAAAGATCAAGATTCATGAGGAAAACACACTATTAGTTGGTTATCACCTCAGAGCTTTGAGAACAAGGGTAAAAATGGGTAACTGAGGGCATACAAATGTAAAGTTGTCATTGGAAACTTTTGAAAAAGATGTGGAGGATTTCTGCCCAGAAGCACTTCAGTGGAGACCAGGAAGGGCAACCTCCCTGACTGTAGGCACATGCTGATGGTGATTAAAAGCTAATCACTATCACATATTTTCAAAACTTAGCAAATATAAGGGAATCATGATTTAGGTACAGGGTAATCATGCTTAGCTAATTTTTTAAAAATCCATACTCGATAAGTTTATTGGTTTTAGAGAGGCAGAGGAAAGGAGGGAGGAAGGGCAAGAGGGGGAGAGAGAGAGAGAGAAACACTGATGTGAGAGAGTAACATCAACTGGTTGCCTCCTGTATGTGTTCTGACTGGGGATTGAACCCACAGCCCACTGGGGTACAGGACAACACTCCGATCAAGAGAGCCAGCCACCTGGCCAGGGCTCATGCTTAACTAATTTAATGACATTTCTTAAGGATCAAAAATCAGGTAGATAATTGGGAATCAATTAAATAAAACCTATTTAGGATCTCACAATATTTGACAAAACTTAAAAAAATTTAGCAAATTTGTAAGTTGTACAGGCTTTTTAATTTATTGGTGCTGCCCTTTGATTGACCCTCAGGTGTACAAAAACAGGGTAAAAGCAGGGAACAGCTCTTTAAATGAACGTTCTATGGAAAGGTGACAAAAAATCAGACAAATTTATATGTTGCAAGGTAAATCTTAAAAAGTGTGGGATCCCCAAACTCCAGGGATTGACAGTAGAAGCTCTTTATGACAGACTATAGGAAAAAAGTAACCCCTATACAAAGAAAAGGTAAGGAAAGTGTTTCTGACAAAAAGAAAAAGGATCAGAAGCAGTCAGAAAACTCGATTTTAACACAGCCAAACACGCAGGGACAGTGTGAATAAAAACACCTAACAGATCAGAAGCCACCTAATAACATAATTCTGAAAAGTGCCAGCACAGACTTTATGTATTGCCTGAAGTAGAAATTTAAGCATTAAGAATGAAAGATCATAGAGCAGAGGAAAGTTCAAGAAGGTGAGAGAGCAATGGGAGTTGAGTTTTATTACTGAAAATAGAAAAATACACAGATTATATTACATGATTTATGTTGCTTATTTGTAAGTCCCTTTGCTAACGAAGGCTGGCAAGAGGAGCACACCCAGAACGTGCCCTCCACAAAAGCCTGCCACTGAAACCTCAGAGCAGGAGGGTTGCCACTATGTGCGGAAGGGCATCGGGTCCCGCCACTGAAATGCATTAGATGGAGCAAGGCTATAGTGACCTGACCCTGGGTTAACACAAGATTGAAGCAGGCTGCAGTCCTCAGATACAAGATACAACAAGATCTGTGAAAACTGGTAGGTAAAATAACTTTGGAATTCAAAGCAGAATTTGGGTTCCAGAGTTGCATCCTTGACCCATGACATACAGGTTTATGTCACCAAGAAGCCTGTGGATGAGCCCTAACTACCATACCATTCCATCTATAAAGGTCGCCAGCAGAGTTAAGTCAATTTTAATGTGGGCAGGAGAGAGAAGATAGGGTACTTGGGTCTGAAAGCTCCAGGTTCATGATTCAGTGTTCTGCATTTTGTGTGACTGCTTCTATGAAGTGCAACTTTCTCACTTGATTCCTCTTCCCATTACGCCTGGGGGGCTCAGAGGGATGCTTGCTTATAGGTTCTGAGTATCTGTGTTCATAGTCACTCATAACCCAGCCTGCTGCTGCCCCAGGAATTCTGACAGTGGCTGCTTGCCTTGCCCTCTCTGTGTTCCCTCAGGCCAGTAAAGACCCAGGCTCTTCCCTCAATCCCCAAAGGATAGCCAAGTCAAGGTTCTAGATTGTTATACAATTTTTTGTGTGTGTGGGGGGGAAGGGTGTAGGGAAATTACAATGCAGAAAAGAACAAATTTCAATTTTGCCAATTTTACTATTCTTGGAGTCCCAGCATGACCCTCTCTGGGAGGCTGGAACAGGTCCTCTTTTTTTGTACGGCCTCAACCTGACATCTTTTCTTGTCATCAATTCCTATCAAACAAGCCACATTACCAAGACACAAAGTCAAAGCAGCTACAAACACAGCATTACAACATGCTTTTAGAAATATCCTCATAATTTGCAGTCAAACTCCACTCACTCCTCTGGGGCTCACTTGAAAGAAAAATAAAAGATTTATGTTAAACACAGGTGCATTATAAACCTTACAGGAATGCTGAAGTTTTATCTAATAAAGTTGCAAAAATTTTAAAAACACATTGAAAATTTTTAAAAATTTCAAAGAGATTTTATTTATTTTTAGAGAGAAGAAAAGGAAGGAAGAAAAAGACAGCGAGAAAAATCAATGTGTAGTTGCCTCTCGTGCTCACCCTACCAGGGACCTGGCCCATAACCCGGGTGTGTGCCCTGACTGGGAATGGAACTGGTGACCCTTTGCTTCACAGTCTGGTGCTCAATCCACTAAGCCACACCAGCGAGGGCAAAATGAAAAAAATTAATTTATTGATTTTATAGAGGGTAGGGAGAGAGGTGTTTATTTTTCCACTTACATGTATTTATGTATCACCAGCTGATTCTTGTGTGTGCCCTGACCAGGGATCAGACCTGAAATCTTGGCCTGCATTGGCCTATCAGGATGACACTTTAACCAACAGAGCTACACAGCCAAGGCCTAAAAACTTCTTGTGTTTATAAACTTAATTTTAGAATAGAATTTTGGTGTTTCTAGTGGGCAAATGTGCACACTGACATGTTTCCCTGCTTCGAGACATGAAGCTTTACATATTTTTTGAACTACAGAAGAATTTTAAAAATATCCAATACCACTTTTGTTATTTAATAAAATTATGAGGGTCTTGCATATAGACTTAGTCTTGAATCAATTTGGAAATGCCATGTAGTCACAGTGGCTCTTCTCACAGTTAGAAAACATGTTAAACATTACTTAAGAAAAGAACATTAGAGGTAGACTCATGACTGACCAAGTGTTTGC